CAGGGTGAGGGAATTCGGCTGCAGGATTCTTATAGGAATCCTGCAGGAGGCTTCCGGCGTTTTTCCGGCCTTCGGGAAGAGGGAATTCGGCTGCAGGATTCTTAAAGGAATCCTGCAGGAGGCTTCCGGCGTTTTTCCGGCCTTCGGGAAGAGGGAATTCGGCTGCAGGATTCTTAAAGGAATCCTGCAGGAGGCTTCCGGCGTTTTTCCGGCCTTCGGGAAGAGGGAATTCGGCTGCAGGATTCTTAAAGGAATCCTGCAGGAGGCTTCCGGCGTTTTTCCGGCCTTCGGGAAGAGGGAATTCGGCTGCAGGATTCTTAAAGGAATCCTGCAGGAGGCTTCCGGCGTTTTTCCGGCCTTCGGGAAGAGGGAATTCGGCTGCAGGATTCTTAAAGGAATCCTGCAGGAGGCTTCCGGCGTTTTCCCGGCCTTCGGGAAGAGGGAATTCGGCTGCAGGATTCTTAAAGGAATCCTGCAGGAGGCTTCCGCGTTTTTCCGGCCTTCGGGAAGAGGGAATTCGGCTGCAGGATTCTTAAAGGAATCCTGCAGGAGGCTTCCGGCGTTTTTCCGGCCTTCGGGAAGAGGGAATTCGGCTGCAGGATTCTTAAAGGAATCCTGCAGGAGGCTTCCGGCGTTTTTCCCGGCCTTCGGGAAGAGGGAATTCGGCTGCAGGATTCTTAAAGGAATCCTGCAGGAGGCTTCCGGCGTTTTTCCGGCCTTCGGGAAGAGGGAATTCGGCTGCAGGATTCTTAAAGGAATCCTGCAGGAGGCTTCCGGCGTTTTTCCGGCCTTCGGGAAGAGGGAATTCGGCTGCAGGATTCTTAAAGGAATCCTGCAGGAGGCTTCCGGCGTTTTCCCGGCCTTCGGGAAGAGGGAATTCGGCTGCAGGATTCTTAGAGGAATCCTGCAGGAGGCTTCCGGCGTTTTCCCGGCCTTCGGGAAGAGGGAATTCGGCTGCAGGATTCTTAAAGGAATCCTGCAGGAGGCTTCCGGTGTTTTTCCGGCCTTCGGGAAGAGGGAATTCGGCTGCAGGATTCTTAAAGGAATCCTGCAGGAGGCTTCCGGCGTTTTTCCGGCCTTCGGGAAGAGGGAATTCGGCTGCAGGATTCTTAAAGGAATCCTGCAGGAGGCTTCCGGCGTTTTTCCGGCCTTCGGGAAGAGGGAATTCGGCTGCAGGATTCTTAAAGGAATCCTGCAGGAGGCTTCCGGCGTTTTTCCCGGCCTTCGGGAAGAGGGAATTCGGCTGCAGGATTCTTAGAGGAATCCTGCAGCGGGACTCCGTCATTTTCAGATGGCGGATTTGACGATGGATTTCGTGCACGAATCCAGCAAAGCATAATTTGGGCTCTGGAGCAACATGACGGAAATGTGGTGGAAAAACGGCGGATAGCGGATTGGTTTTTACTGGGTACGATTCTCACCATCCACACTGAATTTATCTCCGGAAATTTTAATTCAGACACCCCAATATTTTATCCTTTCTGCATTTCAAAAATGAAATGATAAAGGAGTAAATTTGGGGAAACATGCGTGAGATTTGACTGTGTGGTTTCCCAAAGACTCTAAAGCTGAAGTGTAGCCAAAAGACAGCCAAGAGATGTATATAATTTCGGACCTCTGCCAAATGATGGATCATCCCAGAAATATAACATTGAAGAGTGCACAGAAAATTCAGCTTTATTAGTACAAAGAGACGGAATAAAATTCAAGGAAATTTCGTGTGAACAACAGTTGGTCAATTTTGGTCACAACACGTGCCCATGTTAAACGCTGTGAAGTATAACGATGATAGCCTCCAAGTGCTTCTTAATGCTAGAGCCAAAATAGGGAGGGAGAAATCATCCGTGCCCTCAACTTGGACTTGTGGATATTTGGACGAATGGTTCGGACTTGCAGTAATTTTATGATTTTTCATACTCATATAGCTTGTCAAACATATGGCGCTGGGGGTGCAATAATTTTGCCATGGATCTCCTTCGCATCCTTGGCCAGAGAGGCCAAGACAGAGAGAGAAAGAGAGGTTTTATGCATCAGCGATTGAGGTATAATTCAACAGCGCTTTCCAGGATATTTCGCGCTGACTCAGCAATTATAGCTCCTTGATCGAGAGGACTCTTCTTGTAACATCTTATTTGAGAGCGTGATGGTGTGAAAAAGCTAAAGGGTGTTCTGCTTTTGTAATCGCTGTTGGCAGTGTGAAGGAATCAGATTAATTTTGAAGTCACCCCCAAACAATTAGGCAACTTCCTCTCTCCGATAAATTAAATTCCGACTGCCTTCTCTCACTTCCCGCAGCCATATGGCTGGGAACTCCAAAATGAGCGAATAGATTGCATCTGATTCAGGTATCCCAACGAGCAAAAGTTCATCCTCGCCACATCTTCACATGCACGGATGCCTGAATAAGCGCAGAGTGCAATTATTATTTTTTCCAAAGATTAAAATAACACTCCAAATACAATTTCGATGGATCGCGGCTTGGGCTTTGAGCACTGAACAGTTGAACTGCTCCTTGAGATTGTGTAGCAATTCAATAAAAAAGAGCGTAAGGTGCAATGTTTGCGATCCAGGATGAATCGCTCTAACTCCCTGGATGAGATGCGGTGTCGATTTCAGAAGAGGGAAAAGGTAAATTTGCTGACTAATATACCGCAAATCCGGTTCCTTCTTCACGTAAGCCAAGAAAAATGCATCAATACAAGTGCTAAATTTTCTTACCGCAAAAACAAATTTCTTGAAACAATATATTACCTGCCACGGTCGGCCTTTTTTTATACCTTTGATTTTATCGTAGAAATTTTTATAGTAAAAGACCCCCTTTTTTGCGCTGTTCATGCCGAATTTCATCGTGTATAAATTTCTACCTGACCACCCACTAATTTTGCGCCAAATGTTCAAAGGAGCAACCGAAAGAGTTGGAAATGTATGGTGAAGAAGGTAGAGAAGTAAATGACATTTTTACCATAATTTCCGTCACTTTTGGCCTCACCGGCGTGCAATTATCCCACATGATGTCTTCATATTTCAACCCATCACTCCTGGGACTGGAAATCATTTAATTTTTTGCTCACTGATTTTTCATATTTATTAGCCACTTTCCACCGACCGAAACGGCGGTCATTAAGCCAAATGCTAGAAGGTTGGCTTTCCTCCCAAAAGTCACTGCGCAAATCCTCAATCCCGGACATTTGTTTGAACACACTTATAGCGTGCATATCGTTGCACTTGTGCGGCGCAAAAAGTCCTTTCCAAATATGTATATTTCATGCCATAATTTGCAGTGAAATGGGGTGAACACCATCCGCTTCTCACTCTTCATGGCTGCAGGGAATATATATGGCCCAAAGTTGTGTGTCAATATTTGCATTCTATAAATTCATTTTCATTTTCCAAAGAGCGGGAATTTGCACTGCTGTATTTGGAGAACCATTGAACAACGGAGGGCTATAATAAAATCTCCTGATGTGCGATGATCGTTTTCTGATTTTGTCCCAACAACAATGCTAATTTGTGGACGCCGAAGCGCTCTGTTTAATTTGGTCGCGCGCCTGGAATTTTGTTTGACAAATAAATCTTGCTGCCAACAATGTGACTCCCCGGATGGCTTGGCGAGGGTGGATGACAGTGGATAAACAAGTTAATAATTGGATTCTTTAATAATAAAATTGGAGGGTTCTGCGCAATTGCTTTAATACTTCACATTACATGGATTTTATTGGATTAAGCATTGGAATGTGAGGGATTGAAAATTAAGAGGAAAGACAACATTGAATGTGTTGATCATTCTCTTAAATCACTTAGTGTTGAAAGGGAATTTCTCATTTCATCCTCAATTTTGCAGATTCCCTGAAATTTTCCCTCCATCGTAATCCTAACATTGGTTTTCTGGACAATTTTCGGCACGAATTCATCAGCTCATCACGGGAGGAGATGAAGCACTCGCCGGTAATCGGAATTGTGAGAGAGTCTGTGGTCAGGGAATGTGTGGATGGGGGCGAGAAAAGGTGGCCCGACAAGGGGAGTTTATGGGAAAATGATCATCGCGCGAAGCGTTTGAAAGCCGCGAAAATCGGTGCCTTGAAATAAATTGGATTATCTGTCGATTGTGCCGATGATGGAATGAAGCCATTGAGCATCTTCCGAAATATAATAATGTCCGGTTGAGGGATGAAACACTATAATCTGTGTGTTCTCATCACCTCGTCAGGCCCAATACGTATAATTATTAAAACAAACTAATCCACTTAATGCAATCTGCCGTGGACGCCTGTCTGGCCAGTATTTCTCTGCACTTTCTGCCCTCTCTTCTCTTCTCAGGCCATCAGCAATGATGGAACAGTAAACAGGAAGCACTCGTGTGGACAAAAGGTCGCTCCAGCATCTCGTGAAATTGTGTCAACCCACAAGAGCGCCCGAATTGTTCTGCAAAATTGCCCGGGTGAGAAAAAATAAGTGAAAGTCCGCTCCATTTCTAAAGAGAAGACCGCACTGGAGGCAAAAAGTGGTGGTTTTGCGGCAAAGGAGCAAGACAAGGTCCGAATTATCCACAAAGTTATAATCGGAAGTCATCATTACAAATGACTTTTTGATTTGGTCTCATTTCTAACAAGATCCCAACCTTGTTTCACGTTTTTTAATGATCGCCTCATAGTTTTCACACATTTTTTGTCTGCCCGAAATTCGTCGATCTTCTCAAGATGTGAAAAAAAAATCTTGCGGTGAGATTTATGAGTGTGAAGTAATTTTTCTTAAGAAAATTGGAATAATTCTGAGAAGCTCAGATCAATTAAATAGGTAAAGAAATGTCATTAGTTATGCCTTGTATAGCCAAAAAAGGCAATAAAATAAAATTTATTCTTTTTAAACTTTAGCGCTTTTTTTCATATTGGACGCACTTTCGACCAATTTTGGGTGAAATTCAATTGGATTCTGTCTTCGCTAAAAGTTGAAGCAGCGTTGAAGCAATTTTTGGTGATAATTCTTTTTCCTATCACTCGATGGCGCTACAATCAACGACTGCAACTTTCCGGATATTTTGCATCACTTTTCGTGGAGCGTGGCTGTTTCGCAGGCGAGTTGGCCGATAAATCCAGTTCCTGACCATGCCGACCATTGGAATTAAGCGAGATTTGCTTTTCGCCTCCCTGGGGAAGACTTACAGTGAGTAGTTTGCGAGGAATAATAGTCAAATTGCAGTGATTGATCAAATAACCTAATTTCCGGCAGCCGATGACGAATTCCAGACCCTCTGCTTTGCCTTCGGCCTGGAACTGGATGAAGTTGTGAGTGATCAGGAAGAGAGTGATGTCAGTGATGTATGTTGATTGTTGTCATGCTTTCCAGACCAGCGAGAAGCAGATGCTGACGAAGGAACAGGGCGATAATGTTGCTCTGGACAATGCCTCTGAGGAGATCATCTATCGGATCGACATTCCGGCTAATCGATACGATTTGCTGTGCCTGGAGGGACTCGTCTCGGCCCTGCTAGTGTTCCAGGAGAAGTGAGTACCACTCGAAGCTTGGTGGAATATCGGGAATTTATGTAATTTGTCTTCCAGAATCAAGCAGCCACGTTTCCGGACCGTGGATCCAGTCGGAGAACCGCAGACTCTCACTTTGACACCCGCAACGGGGCTCATCCGACCCTTCGCCGTGGCCGCTGTTCTGCGCAACATCACCTTCACTGCCGACTCGTACAATTCCTTCATCGATCTGCAGGATAAATTGCACCAAAACATCTGTCGGAAGCGATCACTGGTGGCCATTGGGACGCACGATTTGGACACTCTCCATGGTCCGTTCATCTACGATGCCAGGGCACCGGCGGAGATCAAATTCAAGCCGCTGAACCAGGAGAAGGAGATGACTGCGGTGGAACTGATGGAATTCTACTCAACTCATGCGCAGCTGAAACAGTATTTGCCCATCATCAGAGATTCGCCAGTGTATCCGGTGATCTACGACTCTAACGGCGTGGTGTTGTCCCTTCCGCCTATCATCAACGGCGATCACTCGAAGATTTCGCTGAACACGAAGAACGTCTTCATCGAGTGCACGGCCACGGATCTGACGAAGGCGAAGGTGGTTCTGGACACGCTCGTGTGCATGTTTTCCAGCCACTGCCAGGAGCAATTCACCGTGGAGTGGTGTCAGGTGGTGAATAGTGATGGACAGAGTGTTCAATATCCGGAGCTCGCCTATCGCACGGAGAAAGTGTCAGCGAAGAAAGCCAACGCGTATGTTGGGATCGAAAAGAGTGCCGACGAAACAGCCCAGTTGCTCAATAGGATGTACTTGAACACCACCGCCGCTGGAGATGAGCTCTCAGTGGAAATTCCGCCCACCAGGCACGACATCATCCACGCCTGCGACATCTACGAGGACGTGGCCATCGCCTATGGCTACAACAACATCCGGAAGTCTCTGCCGGCGACCACGGCAATTGGGAAACAATATCCACTGAACAAGCTGACTGAGCAGCTACGAGAGCAAGTCGCCCAGGCGGGATTTACTGAAGCGCTGACCTTTGCGCTGTGCTCACGCGATGACATCTCAGCGAAGCTTGGCAGGAAGATAGAGCTCGTGCCGGCGGTGCATATCTCCAATCCGAAAACCCTAGAGTTCCAAGTGGGACGCACGACTCTCATCTCTGGGCTGCTGAAGACGCTGGCGGCCAACAAGAAGATGCCTCTGCCGTTGAAGCTCTTTGAGATCTCCGATGTGATTCTCTCTGACGAGGAGGCGGAAGTGAATGCGCGCAACGAGCGTCGGATTTGTGCGGTGAACTGCAACAAGAACGCCGGATTCGAGGTGGTGCATGGACTGCTGGACAGAGTGATGCAACTGCTCGAGGTGCCGTGGAAGGGTGACAATGGATACTGCTTGGATGCCACTGAAGATGCTACTTTCTTCCCCGGAAGATGTGCTGCGATTATGTACAAGGGCTCGCGGATTGGCACGATTGGCGTTCTGCATCCGTCGGTGCTGCAGGCCTTCGAGCTGACGAATCCCTGCTCCCTCATGGAGTTCACCATTGAGCCCTTTGTTTAATGTGGAAATAATTACACAAATTACAACTATTTATGAAGCTTACTTTCTGCACAATAATTTATTATTCAACTTCGTCAGATCTCACGACGGGGTGGGAGAGAGGGATCATCGCTTTCTTGTACTCGTCCCTTGCCAGGGACTTCCGCATGTCGAAAGCATCTTCATCCGGATCGCCAGAGTAGTAATCCAGCACGGTTCGGTATATTATGTAGCCCAAATTGGAGTACATGTTGATGGCAATTTTATTGCTGACTCGCACGAAGAGATCCACGAAGAATGCCATCTTCTTGTTGGACACATCCTCGAGGAACTTCATGAGGGTGGCAGCGAGACCCAAGCGGCCTGGAAAAGCAGAAAAGTACAGTCAGGAAATAGAGTGCGTGGGAATTGTGAGGGAAACTCACGGTAGTCTGTGGAAACAGTGAGAGCAGTTACGTGACCGTGCCAGTTTTCGAGATGTCCTTCGGACTTTCCCATGATGTACCCCATAATCTCGCCCAGAGGCGACTCCACGACTTCCTGCAAGGCGAGAGAGGAGGTGAAAACAGCGCCAGAGGGCAGATTCCGAAGGCTACTCACGAAGTATTCGGGCCATTGGGAGAGGTACTGCATGTAGAAGGACAATCCGTAGGTTTCGGTCAGGTGATCGAGGTTGACATTGTTGAAATGGAACATGTCGTTGCACGTGAAGGGCCTGAGGACAGACATTGCTGGAGGAAGATGCCGGCGAATCCGTCAGTGCACCGCGAGAATTTCCGGCGAAGAGATGTCAAAATGCGGCCCGGCAGCGCCAGCTGGTGTCAATTTGGGCGGTAGTTCGGGCGAAAATCCGCTAGGGTGAATCAAAGCATCCGGGAACATGGCGATTCTGCTTTCGACTGAGTGACGGATATCTAATTTTCAGTGAAATTCCCTGAGAAAAAGTGCCGTGTGGCGGTGAAAAGAGGCGTAAAATCAATCTTGTATGGGTGTTGAAAACAGTGAGTGTTTAAGATGCAGAATGTAGGACCATCTGATGGGCTAAAACACGAGAATAAAGTGAGTGTTAGAGGCAGCACGGGAAGGAATAATGGCAAAATGTCGACACCATCGAACAAATTCACAAGTAACACTTCAAGTCCAACGAAATCGGATACAGAGACCTTCTCTGAGTTTCAGCCCAGAGTCACCGACTCGTCCGAGAGTGACGAGGAGTCTGTGTCTGAGGTAGGTAGCGCCTGGGGCGGTGGTGCACGAAATGGGGGGCGCATTGAGAAAATTTTCATACCTTTTTTTCATCTTGTCGGATGCCATTTCGACGAATGTACGACAAAAAAATTTTTTCTTCGAGACTTTTTTCTCGTACATAGGCGAGTGTATATGGCCAACACACTCGCACCTCACCTTCCACACACACAGCCGCGGGCGCCCCGCTCGCAACTGGCCACCCATACACCCGCCGCGGAGCCAACTCTGGGCGAGAAATTTGTAAAATTACAGTGTGAGAAAATGTCGAGAGGCATCGGCCGGGGCGCAGCGGCGGCGACCGGCCGCGCAGCGGCCCCGGCGCTCGCCGCCGCGGCGCCACGGCCGGCCGCGACGATGCCCACAGCACGAGAGAACCGAGCCTCAATTATCTGTGCGCTTGTGGATGCCTTTTTTCTCTCTCTCTCCATTCTTCCATCTATACACCATGAAAAATTTATGCTCTCCGTGGTGATTGAGTAAATTACATTGACCCGAAAAATTTCTAATCGTGAGTTTTGTGCGCTCTCTTCCTCTCTTTTCACCACCGCGAATCACTTCACGTAGCTCATATCTCCGCATCTATTGTCTCCGCCGAGTGCCTGGCCAGGCGCGGGCTGGCCACATTGGCCGAGGGTTGCGCACGAGGATTGACAGACACTGCAGTGCGCATAGTTTGAGCGTTCGCAATCGATACGCACCGATTATTGTCTAGCCTGGAATCGTCAGCTGTGAATTTTGGCGGGGGTTTGAGGAAATTGCGTCAGCCGAGATGATCGAGAAGCAGATGATGATCTGACGTGGTCATTTGAGGAGTGACTTTGATCCTCTAATATTCCAGACTTTTTTCTTTCTTTCTCTCTCTTTCTAAATCCACACCACCAAAGCCATTAAGCTATAAAAAAAAGTAGTTTGAAGCTCAAGATAAAGCCCACCTTGGCTGTGGAAGTTTTAGAAGTTTTGCTGCGTTTTGAGAAAAAGGAAGTTTTGAGTGATTTAACGTGTATTTTAGACAAGTTAAAAATAGGTCAATGACCTGAACTGCGCAAAATCTCTGCTGAAGCTCTTGACGAAGATCTTCTGATGCCGCTAAAGAGATATCCTCCTCTCGTTATCAGTAATTTGTTGGCTGTGAAAAGAAAAAATCAGCTGACCACTTGCCACAGATGTTTGTGTGGCTCAAAGTGTGGGGAAAATCAGAGGCGAGAACTCGGTGTCGCGGAGGAGTTTTAAGTACCTGTTCGCACTGAGTGACATTTGCTGCAGAATCAACCAACCCTCACTCACACACCCCGTCAAGAGGTCTTTGGTTGGGCAGCATAACGGCGCGGTGTGTGTCTCAAGACGTCTCTGTGATGACGTTTGTAAAAATAGATGCAAAAAGACCTTTCGCTATGCGTTTTCTTTTCTCTCACACACTGTTTTTCTCGCATTTCACTATTGATTCAGTGGTGTTGGCGATCGATTGGAAAAATTAAAACTCACACACTCGTGGCGCGCCACACTACTCTTTTCCGATGCACCGCACGAGAGTGTGAGACGGTGTTTTTTTTTCTTCTCTTCTGTAATACTGCGCTTCGCACAGTGTGTGAGACAGAGAGGGAATGATTGGGCGAGAGAGGGAGGGTGAAGGAGAAAAAAGAGTAATTTTCTTTGTATCACTTGCAAGTATGTTGTGCGTCTAAATTGGTACAGAGTCCAATTGGTTGGTGAGTTGGTGTGGTTTTTTAAACACTCTAAAGTCTCGTCTCAGTTTTGCTTACAAAATAATGACACACATCTCCTGTGCGCGCCCATTGAATTAATTCAATTAATTTGCAATTGTGTGACAAGAAGTGAATATTTGACGGCACAGCATCACTAACTGCTGCTGTTGCTCGTTGGAGATCGCAGTCAGTGTGAGTCACAGAGCGTTTGTGCGGAATGTGCGCCTTCGGAGACAGAATGAGGGAATTTTACCCAGAGCAAACACTCCCACAGCAGCAGTGCACAAGAGCGCGCGTCGTATGTGAGACACAGAGGGAGAAAGAGAGAGAGAGAGAGCTGTTTTGCTGGAGGATGACTTTTCGAGAAGAACACGTGGTTGTGATAAGAGTTTTTGAGATCATGATGCTGCTGCACCGTTCACATATTGATTGAGACTCTCTCTCGTGTACGAAGATGCGCGCATATTGGGCGGATGAGTTCGCAAATTGTGTATTTGGAGAATCGTGTGCATGAGTAAAATTTCCATTACAACTCAATCGTCTGTGAAGGCGATTTGTGCACATGGAATTTTATTGGGGGGTTTTGTGTGTTGGTGGAGAGAGAAGTGCTAAATTTTAGAACACTCAATTACCCTTTTCTAATGCTTCTCTCTGCAACAAATGGAGTAAAATATAATAAATTCTGCAATTGGAATAATAATAATAATAATTTGAGAGTTTCTATGCATAGATTTATAGTTAAACCGTGTCTGATTTTTCATGTGCGATAAATGAGACCATTTTAATGTTAGTATTGAAGGCAATTGTGGTGCGAGAGCATTCATTGAAATTCATAGTGTTCTCACGAAAGCGTGCAAAATTCACGTGAATTTTATCGAAAATCAATATATAGTAGAAGAGAACTCCTTGTGGCGATGGCGTCACAGGTTTGCCGAGTTATAAACCCCTTTTGTGCTGCAGCGTTGCGAAAGAAGGAGGGAATGGTTAAATGTTGAACTTGTTAATTTAGACAAATGAATTTGTGTGAATTGGTCTTTTTCTGGAAGTTTCACTGGTATAATATGGAATGGAGTTTCAGTTTTATTATTGACAGTCTCTCATTCGTCAAGTTGAAGTCATATTCTCGAGAGGTGTTATTATTCAAGACGACGGCAGTGATTCTCTGTTTTATGGGATAATATTTTAGAAGTAGCAAAGAGTTAAGTATATATATATATATGTGCTTCTCCAACATCTTAAAATAAAATGTTCATTGAGTCGCGTGATTGTTGGGAAAGAGAATCTGCAACCTTACATAAGGCTTTAAGAGGGAAAAAAGGGGGAGAGGAATGGAAGAAAAGAGAGGTATTGAAAGAAGAGGGGAAAAGTGACAAACCTAAATGGTAATAGTGCGGTTTTGGTGTTTCGAAAGTCACAGATTTGGCACACAATAGAATTTTCTTTTATATAATGACAGCCAAACATATATACACAAGTGGATAAAGACACAAAGGTTAATGACTCATAGTATTTCCTCCTTAAAAAGCAAAAAATTTGCACGCAACAATATTTGATTTCGCAAAAATATAAATGATAGTGTGTACATAGAATGTACCCTTGAATTGTGTTATAAACTCCTCCTAAAAGCGACGTGGTGAGATTGCATCGAAGAGTTTTGGTTGAAAGAAGTTGAAGAAAGAGAGACTAGAGGAAGAGAAAAAATTATTCAGAAAGAAATTGAATTGGTGAATGGTGGTTGAGCTCTTGGCTAATGCGAAAAAAAGAGAGAAGTGTTGAGGAGGAAAAAAGGGGGAATCGAGCAATGGTTGGAATTTAGAAGTGAGAGACACACACAGTGGAATAGTTTAGTAAGATACTTGAGTGAGGTGCAACCTTCCTTCTCAATGGCTCACATCGTTTTGAGTGATGATTTTTCCCAGTGATACATTCGTTCTTCTTGGAATTCTCAACGGCTGGCCAGTTTTCCTGAAATACACACACAAACACACAAATACACGACATAATTCTCCAAAAAAAGAGTGTACATCCTCTTGAATTTTTCTCACAGTATGAATTTCTGAATAATAGTTTATTGATTAATTATTACTCACTACGATATACGCTCATCCTTGGGAAGTGTTGTTTTTTTCCATTGAGAGAGTTGGCGAGAGACTTGAGATATTATTATTATTACTATTATCATGGAAAATTGCTCAGACACTGTTGAATTTCCAATTCCCAATGATTATCACTTAAGAATAATTAAATAGATGATATTATATCGCGTTAGTATATTCTCGTATATTTTTTTAGATTTTGCTGGCATGCTTGTGTCTAAGGCCAGACTTATTGGTAAGTGTGCCGGATCGGAATCTCGAGGTATCCCTCACTCTATGTGCAAATATCCGGCTTTGAGAGCGTTGCAAAAAAACAAAGTGTACAGTTTCATGTTATAATTTTTGTATGAGAAAAAATAGAGATAAAAAAAAAACATGAAGGCGAGAAACAAACCCTAATCTTCTATGCCTCTGACATAATTAGTACTTTTTTCTGTTTTATTTTATATTTTAATTTTAATTCTTATAATAGATAAATGAAGAACTGAACCAGTGTTATTGATGACAGTGATGAAAAAAAAGCATTCTAATAACGAAACAATGCGAGTTCTGGCTGGCCTTAGACCTCATCATGCCAATATTAACCTTTTTTTCTGTGTTGTTTATTTACTTCGTTTGACGTTTTTTTTTTATTTTACCCTACTAATAGCATAACTTTATTTTGTATACTTATGTTAAAACAAAAAAAGTAAGATGTTGTTGTTTTAGAAGTGTCTTAATGCGCCAGTTAACCGGTGGTCATTGACTAGGTTATCAGACAAACGGGCTCTATTTTATTAAAATCAATATTTACATGGTGGGGAGTTTGCAGAGTTCCACTGCAGAGTTGGGCTTGAGAGATATAATGTACGATGGGAGTTGAGCATCGTTCTGTGTGTCTGTATGTCTGTTAATCTATAAGTACAATCACATTTTCATGCCGTTCATGAGCGCCCGTGTATATGAATTATGCTGCGATGAATGGCTCATTTTCTATACTTTCTTTATTAGCCATTTCCGACCAGCAGACGCTCTTGTCCGATTGTACAGAGTCACATAGTCCTCTATTCACTTAGTGCCTATGACTTTTTTTTTTGCTTTTTGGCGCGCGGGATTGAATGAAATCACGCCGCCGCGAGATTCCCTAACAATTTAGGCCTGGATGTGATATTTTAGATAGAGATATGGAGGTCTTCTTGTCCAGCATGTTTGCCAATAATTTCTTATTAACACGGATGAGAAGAAGAATAAGAAGCAAAAAAAAATAAGAGAGGGAGAAAAGTGTAAAGGTTGAAATGAGAAATGTGTATTCGAATTGTTTTCATCTTCTATCTATCTATCTATTCCCTTTCTATATTTGGACGTTTTTGATGTGATCTAACAAAGTGATTGATGTTTTGTTGTGTAATTGCTGGTGAAAAATGATGCTAATTTCTTCTGTCTCTTTGCAGGTTGACTCCTTTCCGCTAGACCAGAATGATTTGGTCGAGATACCAGGATCATGCTCAGACAGTTGTGAGAATGATGACAATGATGAGGAGGAGGAGGACGATGAGGACGATGAGGAGGATGAGGAGACCGACGTTCATATTAGTGATGGTAAAAAATACTTACTAGAATGTGATCAGGACTCTGATCAGGGTCAGCATGACACCAAGGCTCGCTTAGAGGCACTTCTAGAAGCTGCAGGTTTGCCAATTGATTCATATCATGAACTCTGTGCAATGTTCGTGTGTATTTTGTGAGTTGCAATCTTTGCAACACTGTTGAAAGTGCATTTTGTAAAATTATATGAGAGAAAATATGTGTCACAAAATTAATTATTAGTATTGAGACTGTTTTGATTAATGTCGTGTCTCGTGTTGATGATGATGAATATATGTATTTGGATAGTGAGTTGGAGAAGAGAAAACTTAAATGAACATAAATAGGTGAAATATTTGCTGATTATGTGATATTTCGTAAGAATGTCGGCAATTACATTCCATCATAAATCCACTCACTGGGTTTTTATAATGCACACAACAAGGGCTCAACCACCATCATAATTCTGTGATTTTATGATGAAATACGAACATGACAATTCATTTTTTGTGATATGTGAATGGGTTTAACGTGTTTAAATGTTGTTTTTTTTATTTTATTGCAAATATGGATTTTAAACAAGTTTATTTTTCTAATCTCCTGTTCTTCTCAATGTTGCAGATGAAGCTGCCCAAGCTTTGAATAGAATGCGATCTGATAGTAGTCCGCGTGACAAGAAGTAAGTTTACAAGACATTTCTTTACTCGCTGTGATTCACCATCCATTGTGTTTTTCAAATAACACACTCATCAATGCTTTGTGATTAGCCTAGTGATTAGAAGAGAAAAACTGTGTTTGTCCACAATCCTAATGTTTCTCTTCCCATCCACAATATTCCTTTTTTCTTATTTTCTTTAAATAATAATGCTTTTGCATCCCAGACTAATAACATATTTTTACATGTCGATGAGGATTGTTAAGGATCAAAACTCATCTAAAGTAGAATTCTTCGTGGTTTCAGTTTACTCTCACGTTCCTTAATTGCTGCCTGCACCGATAACGATGTCAATGCGGTGCGTCGTCTCCTGGGCGAGGGAAATAGTACAATCAACGAGGGCACTGATGATGGCGAATCTTTACTTTCTCTGGCATGTTCTGCTGGATACTATGAGCTTGCGCAGGTGAGTCTTTTGTGTAATGCGGGATGGTTTGGGGTGTGTGAAGTGTCCACGAGAGGGAGCGCGCGTGTGTGTGTGTGTTTGTGCGCTAAAAATATGTTGCAAAATTTTCACACGATGCCACCCTCTCTCTTTCTCTTCTGTGTCCCTTGGCGGTATATAGGTACTACTGGCAATGTCTGCCCAAGTGGAAGATCGCGGTCAGAAGAATGATTGTACACCACTGATGGAGGCAGCATCGGCGGGTCACGTTGATATCATCAAGCTGCTGATAAGCCATGGAGCCGATGTGAACGCCCAATCGTCAACTGGTTAGTATAATAAAATGCGTGATATTGTGTGATTTATGCGTAAGAGAAGAGTGTATTCAAATATGGTGTTTATATTTGGATATTTTTGATAATAGTCACTCCAATAGGTAACACACCTCTCATGTATGCGTGTGCTGGTGGACATGTTGCCGCCGTTCAAGAGCTACTAGCACATGGTGCCAATGTTGAGGATCACAATGAGAATGGTCACACACCGCTGATGGAGGCTGCGTCAGCCGGACATGTTGAGGTTGCCAAGGTATGAAAATGATCCGTTAAAGAGCACAAGTGCTCACTCTTCTCTCGCTCTCTCTGTCTCTCATTTTCCAAGTGATTACACCCGAGATCTGAGCTTCAGCAAAAGACAAGAATATATTGAGTTCAACCACTGAATTCTATATTCTTCGAAGCAATGACAAACTTTGATCTTATCTGATGGGAATTATCTCTCTGTCTTTTTTGGACAATGTAATGGCACCAGCAGCAACAATTCCACAAAAAAATGAGCGCTGAATGTTTTGATTCAACCAAACACTCCTCGAATTTCAACACATCATCGCTTTTCTTTGTGTGTTGATATTGACTGGTGCTGATGCTGTGCGGGGGGAAAGAGAGTAAAGAGCACAAGAATGCAATTCTCTGCTGTTTGAATGTTTTATCAATTAAGCACTTTAGTGTGTAATATCTATTGTGGGGTGTGAGATGACTTGAGTCATTCTCTCTCTCAATTAAGCATGAACCCGCAGAAATGCATCATCAGCAATGTCAATTGGGGATTTATAAGCTGTGCAAGAGACTTGTGAAGGGCCTTCTGAAGTTGATAATAATGATTTCTCAGAAATGTGCTGGCCAGCAACTTCTCTTTCTGCTTTTTGTGTTTAAAAAAAAATCAATGAATGGTTTTATAATAAGGTCACGATGGCACGCTCTAGAGAATTATAGCGCCAGTTGTTGTGTCTTGCCTTGTTCTTGTATTACTACAAATTGTAGAAGAGGGAAGAGAGAGTATCAATTTTTATCCTCGAAGTGCGCACTTAATAGCAACAGGGAGTTTTATTTTCCTTGAGAATGATATAGTATGATAAGATATGTATATGTTAATTATATTTTCACTGACTGAGAAACTTATTTTGTCTCGTATCGGTTCAATAAATAAGAGGGAAGTTTGACAGACGGAAATTTTTTGATGATTCAGATGGAGAGGTGCCAAATATATTTGCTAATCAACGAACCAGAATACCGTTCTGGTGTAGTTGGTTAATTTAAAAATGATTTCCACCGTTTTTATTCTGACACAGAACTTTTCATTTTTTTTAATTTTTACATAAAATTGAATATTCATTAATATAAAAAAAAAAAATATTCTTGCTTGAACAAACTTTTCACAGCTGCACTCTTTTCGCCTCAATGGATTGTTGAGTGTCTTGAACTTTTTATCCCATAACTTCTTCTTCCACATTATGTAATGAAATTCCACCCTGCATTACAATGGGGATTTTTATTCTCTAAAATTACATATTATATGAGCGGAGAAGTTCTATCAAAGTATGGATATTTTCGCCTGCTTTTGTCATGGCAGATTATGTCAAAAAGAAAAATCAATAATGGGGTCAGAAATCCGTTTATATCCTATCTGACGTGCTCTTTTGAGGCAGTTGCTGCTGAAACGTGCCAGCGAGAGAGAGAGAGAGAGAAAGGGTGTGAGAGAGGGAGAGTGAGAGGGAAGTGCTGGACGTGTGAGGAAGAGTGTGGTCATTGTAAGGTGTGTCTCTCATTGCAGATCCTCCTTGAGCACGGTGCCGGCATTAATACCCATTCGAATGAGTTCAAGGAAAGTGCTCTTACGCTGGCATGCTACAAGGGTCACCTCGACATGGTGAGATTCCTGCTGGAGGCCGGAGCGGATCAGGAGCACAAGACGGACGAGATGCACACGGCGCTGATGGAGGCGTCTATGGATGGGCATGTGGAGGTGGCGCGTCTCCTCCTCGATTCCGGGGCGCAGGTCAACATGCCGACGGACTCTTTTGAGTCACCACTGACGTTGGCCGCATGCGGAGGTCACGTGGATCTGGCGATGTTGCTGATCGAGCGCGGGGCGAATATTGAGGAGGTGAACGATGAGGGGTACACGCCACTGATGGAGGCAGCACGAGAAGGGCATGAAGAAATGGTGGCGTTGCTTCTGTCGCAAGGTAAAACCATTGAAATATCTTCATTGATTCCTTCAGAGATAATTTATTATTTGTGTTGATTGTTTCAGGGGCGAATATCAATGCTCAAACTGAGGAGACTCAAGAGACAGCATTGACACTTGCTTGTTGCGGTGGATTCCTGGAGGTGGCTGATTACTTGATCAAGAATGGGGCGGACATTGAATTGGGTGCGTCCACGCCACTGATGGAGGCCGCCCAGGAGGGCCATCTGGATCTGGTGAAGTTTCTTCTCGAGAACAATGCGGATGTGCATGCACAGACACAGACTGGCGACACGGCGCTCACGTATGCATGCGAGAATGGTCACACTGAGGTGGCTGAGGTGTTGCTGTACTACCGTGCTGAATTGGAGCATGAATCTGAAGGGGGGCGAACGCCACTGATGAAGGCCTGCCGTGCCGGTCACATTTGCACCGTGAAGTTTCTCATCGCCAAGGGGGCGGACGTGAATCGTCAGACAACCAACAATGACCACACGCCGCTATCCTTAGCGTGTGCCGGTGGACATCAGGCGGTGGTGGAGTTGTTGCTCAAGAGTGGCGCTGATCCCTTCTACAAGTTGAAGGACAACAGCACAATGCTGATTGAGGCTGCCAAGGGTGGACATATTGGGGTGGTGCAGCTCCTCCTCGACTATCCACACTCAATGAGCAATGCCAATCAAATGCCACCGACGCCCACGAATGTGATCAGCGACAGAGAGTTGATGATATATGCTGAGCAACAGCAGAAGATCCAGAAGCAACTGCCACAGCCAATCCAGCCAATTGTGCTGCATCAGCCGAAGCAGCAGCAAGCACAGGCGGCAGCCGCGGCGGCGGCGGCACTGGCGCAGAATCAGCAGCTAGTGACTGCCCCGCCGGGTCTGCACGATGTGCCGGAGGCGATCCGCGTGTCCAACCATCAGATGCTGCATCAGCAGCAGCTGCAGGGAAAGGATGAGGTGCAGCAGCAGCAACAGCAGCAGATGATGGCGGCGGCTGGGGATGGCACAAATGTCATCCTGGATAGCGTGAAGGGTGGCTTAACGGCACCACAAACGGACTCAATTCTCGCTCAGATGCGCATGTTCCAGATGCAGGCGGGCTTCACGGATGGCCTGGCCCAGGGACTGGCTCTGGCACAGCCGGGTGTTGTTAACCAAATTGTGGGCAATGTTGGTGTTGTGGATGCCAATCAGCAGTTGCAACAGCAGCAGCAGCAGCACATTGTTCCGCAGCCACCGAATAACGTCGCGAGTGGCAATCAACAGATAACTGCCAAACAAAAGGGCCTCTCGCGCAAAGGTCGACCCTCTGTTATACCATATGATTCCAATTTGACCACGTCGGAGGCGCAGCAGGTGCGATCGCAGCCTCTGGGCGAGGATGAGAACTCAATCTACGTAACTACCACTCTGCCGACGGCTGACAAGAAGATTTTGGAGGAATTCCACAAGGTGAGTGAGAGAGAGAAATGGGCGTGGGTGAAATATTGCTAGTGCGTGAGGTTAATCATGGTATTTTCTTCTCTTCACCTTCTGCAGACCACGAATCTTCAGGTACTGTGCGAGGGAGGTGTACCATCGACTCTTTTGCCAAGTTCTGCATACGTAGATATAACAACACCATCAGCTCAAGGTTGGTTGAAAGAGTTAAAAAGCATATTCATATATATTTGTATCTCTCAAGAGATTTGCACAGGGTGTGGCGTATCATGTTCATTTTTTGGTGTCTCTGCAGTCGAGTGAGAGATGCAAATTGAGTCCGAATGACCTTAAAAATTTTATATTTGCTATTCATGCTGGTATTTTCACTTACTGGTTCTGATCTTTTGCTTCTGAGCGAAAAGAAGAAAGAAAAAGAACATCAAGGCTGTTAATTGATATTTTTAACAGTAGATATGCCACACCTTGTTCCCAATCACTTTTGTAGCCTAATTGAAGGCATCATACTTATGGTAAAATCATATTATATACGTGAAGAAATCAATATAGGCATGTTATGTGGTGCGAGCGGCATAAGTTTCACATCTGGGACCCCAATATTGGGCCCATTGCCCGCCGGGGGCCCCATTCAGTCTGCCGCAGTAGCCACCTTTGTTGCAGGCAAGTCTTATCATCCAATTTATTAACAAAGAATGGAAAGAGTAAAAACCAAAATGCTTTATCGTTTTCAAAACAACCACAAACTAAATTGTGTGCCTTTTATTCTGAGAGAGAGCGAAAGATTTATTATTGTGCATATATAAGGAAGAATAATAATAGTAATAATTGTGTATAAAAAGCATTGATCCTTTTTGGCTAAAATTCTGACACAATAATGCGAGAAACTGATGTGAAGACGTCTTTTGGAGTGTTTGAAATGATGGCGGAGATTAGAATGTTTTGTGGGAGTTTTGATTGGAAATTTACAAAGTTCACAAAAGGCTTTAGCGCGATAACATATGGTGGCATTTGAAAAGAAAACTTCTTTGCAAACCTTTACAATTCCCAAAACTTTCTACAAAGCCAATAATAATCACGAAGAAAGTTTTATGATGTTGAAATTTACCACGGCTTTTCTCATGCAATATTCTAATCTCCTTGGCTAATGTGAAATTATTGATCAAAATGAGGCTTTATGATTTCAACAATTACAAATGTAATATATTATACCAAATCATTTATACATATGACAACATCATTACCAAATTTATTTAGCTAAAATAAGTGAGGGGCAATTTGGTGTGAGTTATCTAAATGTATTTCACTGTGACACTGCTGTGTAGGTGGAAAGGCGCAGGATAATACGTTCCTCATCACGACGAGTTCCTTTCCGACGTCAATCAATCAAAGCGTAACAACAACAACAGCGTCAGGATCATCAACAACAATTCCTTCCACAACACCATCGACGCAGATCACAGCACCGTCGGAAGTGTCACAGAACACGGCCATAAGTGATCGGCCAAAGGTGAAACCTGTGTCCAAGAAGGATGGAAAGGGCAACATCCGGAAGAGTGGATCTGTTCTGCAACAGAATCAAATGGTGTCTATCTACAACAACTTGGTTTGTTGCCTCATTTTCTGCCTTGTCCACTGGTTTTGACTGTCGTTCTTTTTCCTTCCTTTCACAGCCTGTGATTCCATCGTCGGAGCAAAATCTTCAGCTACTGCAGCAATCAATCGCAACACTGAGTCTGGCGCAGCAACAGCAGCAACAACAACAACCGGGTGCGCCGCAGACACTGATTCAGCAACAACTAGCCAACATAACGCAGAATATTCAACAAATCTCACACCTTCAATCGGTGAATCGCCAATTGCCACCATCATCAACCAACATCAGCCAACAACAGCAGCAGCAGCAGCAACAGCAGATGACACCCAACATTGTTCCAATGCAGGCAGCGGCGCTGCCCATGAGCGGTGACAGTGGCGGTGAAGCTGGTGCCGCTCTGACAGCGCAAATTGCACAGAATCTGAACAACCAGAGTCTGCTGGGCGCGAGTGAGAGTGATGAGCAATTGAATTCGCAGTGGAATCAGAAGATGTGGCAAATGGTGGCACAACTGCCGAATCATCCGCTGCAGAAGATTGCACAGCGTGTCATTGCTGATCAGCCCAAGAGTCCCACTGAGGGTCAAATGGGTGGATCCAGTAGCGGAGCGAGCAGTGGACTGCCGACATCACCCAACAATGCGTCTAAGAATATCGCAAACAGTGAGTTTTGGGTTCAATTGAAGGGGATAATTTGATGTATAATTGTGCTTTTTTCTCTCTATTAATTGCAGATAACGATTATTCTGTCATCTCACGCATGATTTCCGAGGTGGTGCATGGAATAAGTTCGGATTTGAATCCTGAATTTGTTCAGCAACACCAACAGGAGGACAGTTTAATTCATCAGAAAGCCCTGAATGTGAATCAGCAGTTCTTGCTGCAACAGAATGATGGTCAACCGATGGTGGAGCAAGGTTTGTCAAAGTAGTGGATGAAAGAAAAATGGGAGAAGAATGAATTGAATGTTTTCTTTTTGTGGCTTTTCAGGTGATTCTGAGGATCATTTGCACATGTTTTCCGTGGATGACAGTGACGCTGAGACTATTGGTGACTGTGAGATCTATCCGGCCCTGGATGAGTCTCTGGAGTCACTGAATGTTGATGATGTGACAAATGTCGCGACTGTTACCACAATTGACGGTTCAAAGGAGACCATCTGCAACTACGAATGGGCAGATTACATTGATGATGCTATAAATGCTTTACACGGTGGCGCAGATATTCCCGTCGCTATTCAGGTAACTAGATGACATGAAATATAGTTGCTGTGTGTTCCATTTATTGGGGGAATGTGGTAAAAAAATCTCTCTTTGTCTCTTTCTCTCTCTCTCTGTGTTCCCAAATTAAGCAGGAAATGGCTGCGAATTTGAATTGCCCAGATTTGGCTGATGCCTATGCTATGGGTAACCTCATGGGTATCAGTAGTTTCTGTAAGACACACTGGGGAAATCAGTGGGCTCCAGCTGGTCAACCAATTGAGCAGCCATCCACGAGCCAGTCTGTGGTTAGCGATGATCATCGAAATCAAATAATGACGTTCGATCATCAGCTACATCAACAAATTCAGCAGCAATTATCTGTTGAACAATTGCAACTCTTGACTCAACTTCAAGTAAATTTCTCTGTCCATGATTTACACTCAATTCTTAACTAACCACAATCTTTTTTTTTCTTCAATTTCTCTTCTTGTGTGCGCGCAGAATCAGCAAAATCAATCTCTGTCTATGATTCCAACATCATCAATTGATCAGCAACACTTGTCCAATGCCAACATAACATCTCTGGCATCGTCACTTGCATTGGCCCAGCAATCTGGACAGGTGCAGCAGTCACAGTTGATGAGTCAACTGCCAGCAACATTGGATCTACAGCAGCAACAGCAGCAGCAAAATTTGTCTGGTGATGCCCAACAGCAGACAAAGTTTGTGTTCAATGTTGACATTGAGAAGCAATCGCCGGCGCTTCAGTTGCTGTTTCAAATGCCAGCCCAGCAACAGCAGCAGCAGCAGCAGGCACAGGCCGGATCGACTGTACTGTCAAGTCCAATTCAGCAACAGTTTCAGCAGCAACAGCAGCAAATCATTGCGTCCCAAATTGCCCAAACACAGACCAGTGGTTTGCTGAGCGGACAGCCTGTTGTTGATGCCCAACAATCGATCCAACAAGTGCAGCTGCCGTCAAATTTGACCATCTTGCAACCGCATCAGATTCTGTCCAAGGCCCAACAGATGCAGAATTGCTCACAAGTGAGTAGAGAGATAAGAGTTGAAGAAAGTTTGTTAGAGATAGAGTTAATGTGTTGTACTTTTGTCTGTTCGCCAGGCTGTTGCAACGCAAACCCAACAACTGCCATCGGGTACGTCAATGACAGCAGTCACTGCTCTCGCCTCACACCAACAAAATCTCAACAACATCATCCCGTCACCTCAACTCGAGGGCACAGTGCAGCCGCCAAGTGCGGCGGTGCCAGCAATAGCCTCATCCGTTGCCACCTCAAGTGCTGTGAAAGCAAACGGGATTGTTGCGGGTGGAGGTAAGAAAGGATCTGATAAAACATCTCGCAAGGAGAGCAAACGGTATTCGGTAGCAAGAGAAGCGCCTGCCGGTAGTCAAGTAGGATATAATGTAGATGCTGCAGGTACAACATTTGTTAATCCAAAAGATTGACATTGTCTTTTCGTGTGCTTTTGACCTTTGATGATTAATCGTGTTTCTTTTTTCTCACTCTTCTCCTCTTTCTCTTTGCAAATGGTGTGATGATGATCCCGTCCAGGTGCGACAGCGGCAGCTCAACAGCAGTTCGCCGTGCAGGCTGCAAGTCCGCCCGATAAGACAATTGATGTGGACTCGGAGACGGACTCAAATCACGATACAGCACTCACGCTCGCCTGTGCTGGTGGTCATGAGGATCTGGTGGAGTTGTTGATCAGTCGTGGTGCCAATATTGAGCACAGGGACAAGAAGGGATTCACACCACTTATACTTGCTGCGACAGCCGGACACGACAAAGTGGTGGAGGCACTGTTGAAGTATGGAGCGGAGATGGAGGCTCAGTCTGAGCGCACCAAGGATACACCGCTATCGCTGGCGTGCTCAGGTGGGCGGTATGAAGTGGTGGAGCTTCTACTTAACATTGGGGCGAATAAGGAGCACCGAAATGTATCCGATTACACACCATTGAGCCTGGCCGCGAGTGGTGGCTATGTGAATATCATCAAGCTACTCCTCAGTCATGGTGCGGAGATAAATTCACGCACTGGGAGTAAACTTGGTATTTCACCGCTAATGCTTGCGGCAATGAATGGACATACTCAAGCTGTGAAACTCCTCCTCGACATGGGATCGGATATCAATGCCCAAATTGAGACTAATCGCAACACTGCCCTCACCCTGGCGTGCTTCCAGGGGCGACACGAAGTGGTGAATTTGCTGTTGGAGCGCAAGGCGAATGTGGAACACCGGGCCAAGACGGGCCTCACGCCACTCATGGAGGCGGCGAGTGGTGGATACATTGAGGTGGGACGTGTGCTGCTGGACAAGGGGGCGGACGTGAATGCGGCACCTGTGCCATCGTCCAGAGACACAGCTCTTACGATTGCCGCTGACAAGGGGCATGTGAAGTTTGTGGAACTTCTCCTGTACCGTGGAGCGGCTGTGGAGGTGAAGAACAAAAAGGGCAATTCACCCCTCTGGCTGGCGGCCAACGGTGGTCATTTGGCTGTCGTTGAGATCCTCTATGCCCACGATGCCGATATTGATTCACAGGACAATCGCAAGGTATCGTGTCTGATGGCAGCATTCCGCAAGGGTCACACGAAGGTGGTGAAGTGGATGGTGAATCACGTGACGCAGTTCCCGTCTGACCAGGAAATGACACGATACATTTCCACTGTGAGTGACAAGGAGTTGCTGGATAAATGCCATGAGTGCGTGAAGGTGATCAGGGCGGCCAAGGAGGCGCAGGCGGTGAAGGCCAACAAGAATGCCTCGATCCTGCTGGAGGAGTTGGACAAGGAGAAGAATCGCGAGGAGAGTCGAAAGGCGGCCGCGGCGCGACGACGAGAGCGCAAGAAGAAGAAGAAGCTGGAGAAGAAGGAGGAGAAGAGGAAGCTGAACGAGCCGAAGAATGCGCAAGAGGACAAGGACGATGACAAGGATGATGATAGTGACAATGAGAAGGATGAGTCCAGTCCGGAGAATGCGCCGCAGGGTGACAAGGAGGAGGGAGACTCAGGCATCGATGCCAACAGTCAGGGATCGTGCTCGAGTGCTGATGTGAAGTCGAGTAACCTCATGGATAAGCAGAGCAAGCTGAATAAGGCGAAGAAGAGGAAGGAGAAGAATGTTCCGGCTCAACCTCAGCCATCCAGTTCGCAGCCTCAGGCGAGTCGCGCGAAGAGTCCGCTCACCAGTCAGGAGTTGGCCAAGGTGGTGAAGAAGGAGGAGATTGTGATGAAGAATATGAAGAGTGCGCGTGATGTGCCGACGACGAGTGTGAAGGGTGATCAGCAGAAGGAGGGAAAGTCGCGAGAGATGAAGCAGGAGCAGCGACGTGATATGGAGGCTAAGAGGGAGTCAATGCAGGAGCCCAAGAGATCAGTGGAGAAGGAGAATCTGGCTCCGAAGGAAGACACACTGAAGTTGAGGAGTCAGAAGACGGAGAAGAAGCCAGATTCTCTTGTGAGCAGTCGAGGAGACAGTGGTGCTCAGAAGTCTGCCGGCGCCTCTGCCTCTCAGTCAATCCAATCAAATGGCTCCGATGGATCATCGAGCAGTCGCAAGGTTGTGTACTTTCCACGTCATCTGTCCGATCATGAGATCCTCGAGAGCACGTCGACGTACATGAAGAGCTCCAAGGCCGTGTCTAGGAGTCACACGCACGAGGACAGCACAAAGTCGAGCAGTGTGAAGCAGACGGGCAAGCGCGAAGAGGGATGGAAGGAGGTGGTGAGGAAGAGTTCTGTGCAGCAACAGGTCTCGTCATTGGCCGAGCCAAGCTGCAAGAAAGTCGCTGTGCCCACGCATGCGATTTCACGCGTGATTGGACGCGGCGGCAGCAACATCAATGCCATCAGGGCGGCAACTGGGGCGCATATTGAGGTGGAGAAGCAGGGCAAGTCTCAATGTGATCGATGGATCACGATTAAGGGCTCACTGGATGCCACGCGACAGGCGCACTCGCTGATTGGCACGCTCATCAAGGATCCAGATGTGGACATTCTGCAGATGCTGCAGAAGGTGAACGCCAATGTGAAACCTGTGCCGCCGTCACCGTCTATTGGCCCCATTGGCTACTGGGGTGAGAAGTCACCGGTCACCACGACGTCCAGCAGCTTCACATCCGCCAGCTCTGCAATCACTACGTCGAGCAATGTCCAGACAAAGGTACTGAGTGGCATGAAGCAACCAGTTGCCAGCTCGTCGAAGCCATTGAGTGTTGCATCTTCTGTGGCGCCAACGAAGATCCTCTCGTCGGTGCCATCGTCTGTCTCGAGTGCCTCACGCTCGGCACAGTCGAAGGTGTATCAATCCAGTCACCAACAGAGTCGACCTGTTGTCACCAGCAGCAGCACTGTTTCGCGGGCGAATCCGGAGATACTGAAGCGTCCCGCAGTATCCACTTCCGTGAATGTGTCCAGCGGAAGCAACACCACAAAAACCACCATGTCCTTCACCGGGGCAATTATGTCCCTCAAATCGACCACAACGAAGAACATCACGCCGGCAATGAGTATGTCCGGACCACCTGGGACATTTGCATCCAAATTGCTCACGAGTCAGGCGAGTGATGTGAAGAAGATCCTGACATCCAGTGCGGCGACGACAATGAGTTCCGCCTCCACGGCGTCCCTGGTGTCGAGTAGTGCTGCGCAACAACAGTCAGCGGCAGCGGTGAATGTTGTGCAAATAAGTCCTAAGCATCACAATGTGAGTGCCAATGGACAGAATCTGCCCGCACCGTTTGCCAATGCAAGTCAGGCGCCAAATGTGGGGGTGATTGGATCGAGTGCAAAGCCACCATTCTCGCAGACCAGCATTGAGTCGTCGTCGGTGAGTGGATCGAGTGGCGGCAGTAGCGGACCGCCGCGCTCAATCACACCCATTGGACCGCCGACAAGTCGAAACGTGACTCAGTCTCCACTTCTGCAGAAGCAGCAAGCACTGCCAGTGTCGTCCATGTCTTCGGACACCGCTCTGGGTGTGGCTTCGGTGATTCTGCAGAGTGGAAGTAGTGGCGGAAGTGGCACGGCCAGTGGCATTGCTGCGCAGCTCCAGACGAAGATAAGTCAGTTGCACGGTGCCCAGGCGCACGAGTACTCCCTCTTCAATGACAGCTACGGGAGTCAGTGGGAGAACAAGCAGATGTACAACAACGTGCTGCCACTGCAGGCGGATGCCTCAAAGGCGCCCGGGTATCGTGGCAACACTGTGAGCTCACCGGTGAGTTTGAAGACGAGCAGTCAATCCATCACACCGCCGTCGAGTGGCCATCATCTGAGTGTGGCACCGTCAACGGGGAATGTGGCATCGACTCTCCTCACCACCACACAGTCGCAGGCCACGCAGAATCTGTCCTCTGTCCAGGTCACGCCATCCAGTCAGGTGTACGATTTGGCGCAGTCCGCTACTGGCAGTGGTGGTGTGATTAAGCCACCCACGACGCAGATTCAGCCACCGCCGCCATCCAATTTGGCCGTGCAGCGCCCCATCATGAGCAACATGGCACAGGCGCGACCTGTCAATGCCCAGATGGACTCCTACTCCAGTGGCAGTGGAGCCGGAGCGCGACAGAATCTGTTTGACAATCTGCAGGCGCAGTCGTCCAATACTGGCAGCAGTGGCAGTTCCTCGTCTCAGCACATGCTCAACTACAGCCAGAACTCAGAGTCCAGCCATCCGCCACCGTTTCAGCATCTCGGCGGTCTCGGTGCTGGCAATCTGCACATGTCACGTCTCAATCCGCGCGCCACTGTCTTCTCCTCGATGCAGCAGCAGCAGCAAGCGCCGCCGCCACAGCAACAGCAGTCTGCCAAGGCGAGTGGTCAGCAGCAGCATCCGAGTCAGTTTGGCAACATTTTCCAACAGAATCAGGGCGCATCGGCGGCACCTGGTGGCGGCGGCAGTGGCAGTGGCAGCATGAATAGCCAGTACAGCAAAATGCCACCCATTGCGTCGTACAATCCCACACCGGGACGCCCACAGTCGCAGCCGCAGCCGCAGACGCAGCAGCAGCAGGCGTCGCAGGGTGGGCAGGTGAATAATGGGCGTTGGTATGATTTGTCGCACTTGCCGTCACCGCGGGAGATTCTCAACATGGAGAATGGCTTCAACATCGGTCTGGGCTCACCGTCCGCCATGTCGCCCAACAATCCACCTCAGGCCACCACGAATGGTGTGCTGTCCAGCCAATCGACGGACGACAGCCGGAAGATGCCGCGACCCATTGGCACGGAGCGCGCCAGCTGGAAGTATGGCTACAATTCGAATGTCGTGGCCCAGTCGCAGCCGCCGCAGATGCCAATGGAGATGGACAATGCGGGTCAGATTCATCCGTGGATGGTGGACAAGCAGCCGTGGATGATGCCGATGCGCAATCAATATATGCCCACAGATGACCTCCATCCTCACGATCACTTCTCGGTGAGTCTCTTTTTGGCAAATTGATGGAATTCAGGGTGGATTTGGGGTGGAAAACAGAGTGTTTAATCCCTGATTCGATGGTTTTTGAGAATGCAGTGTTATAATGTGTCCTTTTTGGGTGGTTTTTCTTGTTGTTCTTTCAGCACATGCAACTGGACTATCATGCTGGTGCAAATGTGGGTCCATCGCCGCAAAATATGAACCTGATGCAGTCGCTTCAGTACACACCATTCATGCCACATGCTGACATTGGTCAACTGCCAGATAAGATAGAAACTTGGGAACCTGAGAAACATGTAAGGCACAAATAACTCTCTCATCAACACAGTATTAAAGTATTTTGACCGAGAGATTTTCTCTTTGTTTGTTGTAGGGCTGGAAGTGGACAAATTGAGTTAGGAATGCCGTGAATTTCATCAGATATTGAACACATTAAATAGAAACACTTTCAATTTCAATTCATATAATATACATATACTTTGTTTGCAAAACAATTGAGGGTTAAATCCCCTGATTTTTTTCTCAATATATTGTCAAAGAGAGTAATAAATGCAAGACAAAGAAAGAGAGAGAGTTGAGAGAAAAAAAGGGTGGATGCGAAGGAAGATGTGCTCCATAAACTTGTCTTATTTGTCACGTTGTTGTATCTTATGGAATTCGTAGTAGTGTGAAAAGAGGTTGAAGAAGAAAATGCACAGCATCAATTTACATGCTTTAAAAAACTGAAGTCTTTCTATATGAATTTTGATTTTCTACACGATGAGTTTCTTTGATAGTAAAAAGGTGTAAAAAAATAATAATCTCTCTTAGACAAGACGAAGATGAAGATGAAAAGATGATGAAGAGAAGCGGAATGGAAGAATATATTGAGGCAGTTTTGACGATAGAAGATGGCAAGCGAAAATTCTGAATAAATCCTTTCTATCCCTTATTTACAATGTTTATCACACATTCTCGAAAAGAAATGAAGAAGAAAAAAAAAACTTTAGAAAAAGATGGTAATAGTAAAAAAAAACAAGATAATTAAAGGACATGAGAAAGATAGAGGCAACTTTTTGCTGTTATTATTCATATTAAAAAAAGAAGAAGATGATGAAAAAAATGATGAAAAGATGTATTAATAAACGTAATTTAAAAAAGATGATGAAAAGGAAACATGAAATAAAATTAAGAAAATTAACTATAAAAAAAACGCATAGAGAAATAGATGCATGAGTTAAAATGAAAAAAAATGAATAATTAAAGTGGAAAAAAAGAGATCTTATTATTGCAATGCTGTAACAAATAATTTTTCCCTTGGAAAATATTCCTTATTTTTTTTTGGAGTTTGGGTTTTTTTGTCCAATTTTTCAATCGAGTGCTTTTATTTTGATTCCCGGAGACTTTTATACTCTATATTTTACACCCCGTCCCCTCTTTCCCATCGAAGTTAGAGATCGTAAATTGCGCTCGCGAATAACAATCTTAGTTGCTGGGATTAATGAGAAGATAAATAAAAATAATCTTGCGGAAGTGGTTTTTAGATTTCCTCGATATACTTTTTTTTTCTTTTGTTAAGAGATATTGCGCATCGATTTTTTAGTAAGAGATATTTAATTTTATATAGATTTGACTTGTCGAACGTACTTTTTCGAGATTTGTATCTTTCTTTTTTTGTTTTTTGTAAGTTTTCCGCTGAGTCGTCGCTATTATATTTATCGTAAAATGATGAAAACAAGTTAAACGGAGGAGAAGGAGAAAAAATATGACAAATCGAAAATAGATGAGATAAACTTGCTGTCAGCTTTAGGTTGAAGAAAATGATATAAACTTTTCCCCCTCGTAAACTTGCATTCGTAACTTTTCGTAAGGAGAAGAAAAAACAAAACAAGAAAGGATAGCTTGTGTTCCGCAGTGAACAGCCACAGAGAAACTGAAGAAGTTGCAGAAAAAGAAGAAGATGAAGAAGAAAACACGATGTTTATTCATAGAAATATAAATAATGAATGAAAAACTGATAATGATAAATATTCACTGCTTTTACTGTCATTTTTACTTTCTTTTGGAGAAAAACGTGTTTTTCTTTTCTTCCTTTACGTTTAATTCACGGTTTTTGCTAATTCTGCAGCATAATGAGCAAAGAAAAAGAGAAATGGGAGAAGCGCGAAGGAGAAAGAAATCTATTAAGGATAGGAAATTTTCGTGGAAGTTAATATTTCGAGGGTATTTTTTTCTGTTTTGAATGCTGATGCATAGTTTTATGTTGCGCTGCGCGGAGAATGTCTTGGCCAAGGCGCGTGGTGTGAAGTGTTGGGCAATCTTGCGTGTCTCTGGAGAGTTTCGGTTTTGGGCCCCGAATCTTCACGCACGCAAGTCACTTCACGCCATTCGGGGTGCTTCGACGTGTCCGTCAGTTGATCTTTCACTATTCACAGCAATGGAAAAAAAGCTATATAAATGCAAAACATGGATTTATAAAGTTTAGAATTGAAAGAGTGAGAAAGCGTAGAAATTGAGAGGATGGAAAAATGGTGAACACAAATGGATGGAAGTGTTTGGATTATTGTGACTCGATGAATGCCAATTGTTTTTGGTGTTTTTTTCACGATGCGAACGGAAGAGATGAAATGGAGTTTATGGAAATTTTTGACGATGGAGGAGAACAGAAAAGATTTTCATAAGAAGAATTACATTAAAAACACACAAACACACAGATGAAAAAAAGGATGAAGTAAGAAAAAAACAATGCTAAAATGAGAAAAAAAGATGAAAAAATCTATTATTGATGATTTCTGAATTCATATTATCAATTAATATTGAATTATATAACTATATTATATTATTCTATATAATAAAATATATAATTATTATTGGAAGTAATGGATAGTATATATTAAAAGAGTAATTGTATGAAATAATAATTGAAAAATACATTTTCGTTCGCCTGTAATTGAAGACGAAATATATATACAACTTTACTGCACTGCACAAAGCGAGAGAATAGCAAATGATCCAAGAAATGATCCTTCGGCGTCCGTGAGACGTTTGGCAGAGAGTCATTGTTTTGATGTGTGATTTTGTGCTGTGTTTCCTTGAGAGAATTTATGGACATCAAATGCAAGTAAGTATAAAAATGGTAAGGACTCTTAATATCTCATGAATCAATTCCCATTTAAACGAGGAATGTTAAAAATGTGTTAAAGTACAGGCTCAAAATGGCGATTGTGTTAAAAATTTTACCACTAACTTGTGCTATTTGCTATTCTGGTTCAATTTGTGTTTAATTATTTGGTTACGCCTGAATGTGTAGTTTTAACACAACCTCTAGAAGTTGTTTTAATGAATTTCTCATTTTTCTTCTCTTATACACTTTGTGGTATTGTTTAAAACTCTAAAACACCCCATCTTTTACATATTTAAAGTTCAACATTCCTGTGTTTCACTGGTAATTAATTCACCAGTTATTTGCAATTCTAATTCACACGTGTTAAGCCAATTTGTATTACTTGGATGTGTTATTTTAAAACAACTTTGTTACGACGACGAAGAATTGAAGATTTCATGTTTCATCTGTGCTTCATGTCACGTGTGATGAGTGTCAACAAGAAACATCCGTGCAACTTGTGAGATTTTTCTCCGTCTTTGTTTGCATGGAAGACAAAGAGAGAAAGAGAAAAATAACCTGAAAGCCATCAGTGGTTTTGAGGAAGTGTAAACAAACATGGATTTGACTCTGAGTGTCCTCACCATCAATATCTGGTTAGCATCGCCATTCTCACTCCAATTCTGGCCATTCAGTGAGCAATTCACTTCCTTTTCAGGGGCATTCCGTTTGTGTCGAAGGATCGCGAGGTGCGAATCCAGAGAATCGCGGAGGAGCTGGCCAGTGGGAAGTACGATGTAGTGTCGATGCAGGAAGTGTGGTCAGAGACAGACTTCCAGTCGCTCAAGTCCCACACGGAGGCCGTTCTGCCCTACAGTCACTACTTCTACAGTGGCGTCGTGGGCTCGGGATTGTGCGTCCTGTCCAAGTATCCCATCACCGCGGCCTTCTTCCACGCCTGGTCAGTGAATGGATACGTGCATCGGATCCAGCACGGCGACTGGTTTGGCGGAAAGGGCGTGGGATTGTGCAAGATTTCCGTCCACGGCCACACTGTCAATCTGTACAATGCTCACCTGCACGCAGAGTACAACCGGAAGAGCGACGACTACATGGCGCATCGCGTGATTCAGGCCTTCGACACGGCTCAGTTCATCCAGCAGACACGCAACGACGCCGTGGTGCAGATCCTCGCCGGAGACCTGAACACAGAGCCCGGAGATCTGGCCTATCGCATCCTCCTGTCCACGTCACACCTGCAAGACTCGTACCAGAAGTCAGAGCCGCACGGTACGAACGAGTGCGCCAGGAATCCCTACACTTGCGAGGAGAACCGCCTGAGTGCTCCGGATGGGAAGAGGATTGACTACGTCCTGTTCAGAGTGGGCGCCGGCGGTCGCTTGACTCGCCAGGAGTACAAAGTGCTCATGCCAGAGCAGTGCTTCTCCGACCACGAGGCTGTCCATGTGAAGCTGGACATTGTGCCACCAAAGATGTCCAGGGATTCGTCGCTGGAATACATAAATGGCGATGGTGAGAACGCTTCGAATATAATTAAGAATGCAAGGATTGCACTTTGTTGTCTTTCACAGACGCTGAAATGCCAGCATCCGAGGCGGGAAAGCCTTCTAGCCACCTGACGGATCTCACAGAGAGCATCCAGATCTGCGACGACAGTCTGAAGCAGCTGGATTCTCACCGGAAATTCTACCTGTGGATGTCGTTTGCCATAATCATCACGCTCATCATGTTCGCCGATTTCGAGGCTCCTTATGGCTTCCAGACGGTGTATCTCCTCTCGAAGATCCTTCTGGGCCTTCTCACGGCCTTCCTCCTCTTCATGGGCACTCTGTGGAATGTGATGGAGCGCCATGGGATCTTGTCTGGGAAGCTAGAGATGGAGATTGTTCTTCGCAACATCCCGAATCACGTTGAGGCGGCAACATAAGCATTTCTCTGCTCAGTATGTTTATTTTATTTTTGTATCTGCTTTCCAGCGGGATCAGAGGATCTCCTGGGGAAATTTTATGCTCAGACAGGCTGTTGTAATCAGGATAAAATGCATTAAATCAACCGGATCTCGAGGATCCGGGAAAAAGCGCCAGTTTTGTAATGGAAAGTTCGTCTAAAATCCGTTCCACTGCGAACTGGACTGTTTATCAGCTGGTCTTGTTGGAAAGTTTTTCTGGAAAGCTGGCATGCTGAGGATCCTGAGAAGCGGTCAAAAGTGGATTGTTGCACATCAAGTGAGAAAGATGAGTTCTCAGAATCTTCCAACTCTTCCTCAAGTTCTCGAGAAGCTGCGAGAATTCGCGCCGGAGAGCCTGGCAGAGTCGTGGGACAACGTGGGACTGTTGATCGAGCCGGCAACGCCAAAATCCATCTCAGGCATCCTCATGACGAACGACCTGACTGAAGAAGTGCTTAGGGAGGCTGTGAATGGGAAAGTAGATCTCATAATCTCTTATCATCCGCCGATCTTTGAGTCCCTCAAGCGCATCACGCAGTCTTCGTGGAAGCAGCGGATTGTGGCCAAGTGTCTGGAGCAGGGAATCGCCGTGTATTCGCCCCACACGGCGTGGGACAGTGTTCGAGGGGGCGTCAATGACTGGCTGGGAGAATTTCTCGAGAAGGAGTACGGCAAAGGCCAGCCAATTGTGCCCAATCAAGATGTTCCTGATTGTGGCGCTGGAAGGATTTATCAATGTGCCGGACAAAGTGGACTCACGCTGGCTGACATCATCTCTGGCCTCAAGCGCCACATCTCCACTCCCGATCAGCACGTGCCTGTGGCTCTGGTGCATCCTCTGGCGCACAAGGTGAAGTCTGTGGCTCTCTGCGCGGGTTCTGGATGGAGCGTGCTGAAGGGCCTGAAAGCTGAACTCTTCATCACCGGGGAAATGTCGCACCACTTCGTGCTGGACGCGAATCACTCTGGTTCAAGCGTCATCCTTACGAATCACAGCAATTCCGAGAGAAACTTCCTGCCGACATTCAAGAAGCACCTGGAAAAGAGCCTCCCAGAAGTGACTGTGACTGTCTCTGTGACTGATCGTGATCCCCTCACGCTGGACACATTGTAAGCGAAGCATTCAGGGTAAAAATACATTTATTCGCGAGAGAAAATCACATATAAAATGCTTCCTAAACGATCAGTTGTTTTTTTTTTTGGCACCACAACAGAGATTCCGGATGTTCACAGTTCGGAGTGCTTGAAGATCCTCTTCTCCAAATCCTCATGCAGCTTCTCCACCTTGCGCGATTGCTTCTTGATATTGTCCTCCATCATGGAGATCTTCTCGTGCTTGTTCAGATGCTTGTTCGACTGAAATGACAAAGAAGAGGGATTATTAGGGAGGATTCTTTCAGAGCTGGACAAATCTACTGACTTTGTACTTCTCCAGGGAGATTGCGTGCTCGGCATTCATGTGGCGCAGCTTCATAAAGCGCGCTTCCAAGTGCAGAAGTTCCACCTTGAGCGAGGCCAGCTCGTCCGGCGAGAAGTCACTGTTGACCGCCACTCGCCAGAGGCCCTGCACCTTGGGCTCCACGAAGTCCTGGCTGTTGGGCCCCTTGGCGGTGATTCTCTCCAGCCTGTCGATGCTGTCGCGCAGATCCCGATGCTTATCCCGCAACTCATTGGCCGCGTGGTAGTACTCATCGTGCTTCTGGGCTCGACTGTCCGCTAGATCCTCAACAGTGCCAACCTCGTTGAACTTCTTGATCTCCTCCTCGTTCACGGCGTTGATGTGGAAGTCCTTCTTGCCCTGGTTCTTCGTCACGTCGTCCAGGAGATCATAGTACAGATCCACCTTCTCCTGATGGTGCATGAACTCCTCCTTCAGTGCCGTGAGCTCAGCTGGCGTGAAGCCCGCCACTTCAGCTTTCTCCCACAGCTTGTTGAGCTTCTTGTCCTTGAACAGACTCTTGTTCTTGTACGCATCCACCGTGCCGTGGTAGGCCGTGTAATCCTTGAACTTCTCCGGATTCTGCGTGTCATCGAAGTGCTCCAGCAAACCATAAGTGCTCATGATCCCGATCAATTTCTTCCGCAAGTCCGCCTCCTTCAGACCATCCTTGTCCTTATTCTGTCCACTCAGTTGCTTCCAGGCCAGCTCCTCTTTATCTTGGATCTTCAGCTCGGTGTACAGGCTTATCAGTTTGGGTTCTGTTAATCTCTGTGGTGTGAAAGAAAACAAACCGTTAGGCCCCATGGGCGAAATCAGGCAAATCCCCATTGTTCCCGGCTTACGTGCTGTGCCTTTGTCCACACCAAATTCAGCTTGGCCATCCGGAAGGGGCGCTGGATCTGCCTCATGTCGTAAGTCTCACTCTCCGGCAGATTCAGCTCCTTGGAGTACTTGTTTTCCGGCTTCTTCGCCTTCTTGTCGCCCAGCGATGGGCACGTAAGTGCCAGGCACAGCAGGAGGATTACGTGGACTTTGGACATGTCTGCAAGAGAGCTTACTCAACACTAAACTGCACAAATCGCACTAATGAGCCTGAAATGGGAACTCATCTAGTCACAGACTGCAGAAGATTCCAACAAAACATCACGGCTGATTGCGAAGGTCAGCCGAGATTTCACGAAGAGCTTTCGGCGAAGTTCTCGTATAAAATTAGGCTGCGTATATTTGTGTAAGTTTGAAAATCAAATCGGTTTGCTGCAATCGTAAGGATTTATTATACATGAGATTAAATGATAAGAGAAAATCAGCAGAAATAAAGTGCAGTGAAAGAATTATACAGAATGTAGTGTCTTACTTATTTTATTAAATATACATAGGAAGAACTATTACTTTATCAATAAACAATCTAAAGTAGATTTGACTACTCTTTGTTAACAGAATACTTGTGGCGTTTCACCGTGATGATAATACCAGCCACGCTTATCAGGAGGTGAAACACTTTCTCATAATTTCCGTGATAATCTAATACTTTTTTACATTCATATACATCATCAGCTGCTGACTGACTTTCAACATGGAGAGTTGATCATAGAGAAAGAGAGTCGTCTTATGGTATAATTAACGTTGCTCCTTGAATACGATTCATGTTATGGGCTCAGCGGTGAAGGGATTAGGATGATTATCGTTTTTCTTGACTTTTGGACATTCTCGCGTTTAGGCGTACATTTTGGAAGAGTCAGGATCCTGCTGAAAATCAGGGTGAATTGTTTGTGATTTTTCTTTAAATGATTGATTTCTTGCTCACCATGAATTTGTAGAATTTCGAAGTCTTAGGAACATTGTTGGCCATGTCATTGTCCATGTCGTTGCTGGGCAGATCTTCAGACTCCCTCGAGTCTCTGCTGAAGAAGAGCTTCTTCAAGTTGGCATTCGAGTTCTGGCGATCATCAAAGGTGTCTTCTGAGGGTGTGAAGGATTCGCTCTCTTCAGTCTTGTCCAGAGAATCCGCTGTGCCCAGAGATCTGAAGAATCTTGAGTCATTCAAGCTCTCCAAAGCGTTTCCTTGCATCTTCGCCTTCATCTCTAACAGGTTCTGTCGAAGAATTTCTCCTTCAGTATCGAAGAAAGCCAAGAAAGCTCTTTTCTTTTGACACTCTCACCTTGTCCGGAATTATTTTCAGCAACGCCCAACGCGTGGGTAAATTGATGTGTGGCGGAGGCCGCGGTAAGACTCTGGAAGAGCTTCTCTTTCCGTGAGCTTCAATAGAACACATAGAGAGAGAATACTTTCAGTACAATGGGAGCTTCTCAATAGTCTGACCAAACACTCACCTCCCCAGCAGGAGTGTCCATAACTGAGGCAGGAACCTAAGGAGAGGAAGAGGAGATAAAATTACTCGACTTTTCAATGGGACGCCCATCCATCAAAGTTCTGGGTGGGGAAAAAAAGTTGCCAAAGCTTCACGTGCAGTGTTGTGTTAATCATTTACCAGCAAATATTTTGCGAAACCCTCGAAGATTGCAAAAGTGCTTGTATTGTAGCTGAATTACTAGAGCTGAAAAGGATTCTCAATGCTTGAACGCAAAGAATGGATTGGTTCACCTGTGTGTGTGTAGATGCTATAGATGAATTTTTATCAGTGGAGATTTTCACTTGTGCAAATATTCTAAAGGGAATTTTCTGTATGGAAAATGTTCCACTCAAGATGCATAAATTGTGATATTCGCAGCTCTTCAGTGCTCGAAAAGCATCGTGAACGGCCCACGATGTTATCTCGTGAAGAAGGAATAACATATTATTTACGTGAGCATAATGCTTGACTGGACACCTCTTGGCGCATGAGAAAGAATGTAAATGTTAACATTGGATATATATATGGGGGAATCATCAATATCCACAGGGCATTATTTGTGTTATCATATCGTTGATTGCTGTGGATGGGGAGAAATGTTTAAAATGCTTATCATTCTCAAATAGACACCATCCATTATCTCTATCTCCTGCCCTGATGTGAAGAGTTATCAGACTTCATTAGCCACGGTGATAGTGATGTTAATTATGCAGCATTGAATTGAATTACTCACAAGCCATCCATTCATATCAGGTGTGGATGAAATTTCCACTGTAAAGTTTAATCAACGGACAGCAAAAGTGTCTCAAATTTCACTTTCTCCACCTCTTTTACAGAGACACTTTTCACAAGGTGCGATGGTTTAGCATAAAAATAGTTCCAACAGGTGATTTGCCCATGTCACACAGACGGCTTTTTTCCTGCCCAAAAATAACACATTTACGAATTTCACGAAAATGTTCACATTTACACCGCATCATCAGGAGATTCTTTTACGTTCATGACGCTTGAAATATGAGAAATTTAGCGTGAAAAATAAATGGCATTCACGGCGGAATATGACCATATTAAGAAACTCATATTCTCAGTTCTTCGCGAGAAGAATGAATTTTACGGAGGCAAATGGAATGTGAAGAAAGCATTAATTGAAATGCGCGTGTAAATTGTACACCTGACACTTTTGTCAACAATTCCAATTTAATTGTTCCCTACTGTAAAGTGATATTTCTTTGACGAGCGCCCAGTCTTAATCTATGGAATGTGAAATATTAAATTAAAAGTGCGTAGGTGAAGAAAGGTAAAATGTTATATTTTGAGGGTTGATTGTTTTGTACAATAGAACTTTTATCCGGGTAAAGACACAATGTGGGTTTAAGACTCTGCCACTGACTTCGGATGAAGACTTGATAAAATCTGATAGTCTAAACCCTTTTCACAGATATTGCCGTTGGAAAGAGTGAATATTTGATAGTAATTGAATTTTAACAAGCATTTTAATTGTGAATACTTCGTTCAATTTCACTTTCCAAAAATATGTGTTAAATGTTTAATTGAATACATTTTTTAATTGAAAATGATTGGAAAAACTCGAGTATTATTAAATATTTTTATAAATAAAAAAAAATCACAGCTCACTAGCAAGTATTATCGTGTGAATAATAACACATTGTAATAATTAAGCTAATGATATGAAATTTTGAACACTGCCAATTTCGCCTGTTGATCATATAAAATGATTTTCATGCGACAGTAATAATGTGAAATTTTGCTCACGAAGAAAAGACTTCAACAGCTGAGAACTCAATATTCTTTAAGTGCTTTATGAATTTTTATCGGAAAATGCATGAGAGTTGAGGGTGAAATGTTAGTTGATTTAAACCACAACTCATTTCAAAGACTGCTGGAGAAACTTTGCCTTTTTCTTATAAATTTTAACTCTGGATTTTCTCTTCGTCAGTGGATTTGCATGAGCGTCAATTTGCTCGCTTCGGGACATTTTAATATGCTTAGTCTCTCTCCTTCCGTTGAAAATTCATTCGCGAATCATACATGAAAATTGTCCTACTGGGAAAGATGGTGTTATTCTTTTTCAATATTCGTGGCTTTTGCCGTTCTATCCGTCCCCAAGGAGGGATCTATGCGTTCGAGGGTGGGTGGCGAGGCCCATAAAAACTCCGTATGGGATTTTACTGGTATATTCACGCAGAGGAAATATGCACCTGAGGCTCTTCAATTAAATACCATCCGCCTCGTGTAGCCAAATCGAGGAGGAAGATTAGCCGATGGGAAACAAAAATTCATCGAATGAGGATGCAAATTATCGTAATGAGGTATGAATAATAATTTATTCATCACACTAGCTGCGGGCAAATTGCGTTTTGAATGATGGGCGTGGATTTCATGGTTCAATCCTAAAAGTTGAGCGTGAAACCATAAAATGAGCTTTCCATCAAACATTGTGATGCTTCAGCGAAACATTTCCCATCACTATACTGGTATAAATGCATCCTTTTTAGGCACATTAAGGGGTAGTAAATGTGTTTTATGCAATTTTCTAATGGTGAACCTCTTGATTTTACACTCAAATTCAAATATATCCTCTTTCAGGTGATCCATTTTGGTGCTCACCATTACAATTACTTTCTTTTACTGCTTTATGCTTACAATTCCAGTTAATTTTCTCACCTTCCACGGAATCCTTGTACAGGGAAATGAGGATGAGCAGTCCAAGAATTACTTTCATTTCTTCACTTAGGATTTTTTAAACACAAGTGCAAAGAGGACTAAACTTTGAATTGCAGCAACTTCTTCTGCACCCAGAAATGATTTTCAGTCGGAGGGCCTAAACAGACGAATTGACTCAATGTGAGGTGAAATTGCAGACTGACTACGGAGGGTCGTTATCAATGGTTTTATATAGTGTGGCGCTCTTTGGTTAAGCAACGGCTAATGGTGTGTGCTTGAGACAAGCGCAGTTTCATCCCGAAAACAGGTGGAATTTCACCACCCGTGCTTGTGTGCGTATCGCAAGAGTTTTGACTGAGGATTATCCATTCGGGGCAGAGTCCACAGGACTCCGTTCATTTGCATCATTCCCAATTATACCATCATATTTCAACACACTTACCTCGTCACACTATGGATTGAGAAGCATTCACTACCCACAGAGTTATGAATGGGGCTAATTTTTCTATGCGTTATCTTTATACCCAATAGGATGGCTCTGTGACAATATTTGCACGGAGTAAATGTACGCGCCACATTCACCAATGTGTCTTCCCTTAGCGATGTTTGATTGGCCGAAAATCCCACGTTTATTGCTGACGAAATGTGTTAATTTAATTCACTGGCACTTAATGACGATCACTTTGAGTGAAATAACAGCCATTTAACGTCCCTTTCAAATCTCAATGGTGTGCCAAAGGGTAATCAGCGAGTCAACTTCCGCCTCTTACCAGATTACTCACCCAGTTAACGTCACCAATCAATCTGAGACAATTTTAATCACCGCTGAAAAATTGCGTGGGTGGCATTCTGTGAATAGAGGAATTGTTGTAGGCCGTGGCGAATGCTAGGACCGCAAGAAGACTCCTCTTTCAACGCTAGTGACGTATAATGAAATAGCAGCCAGAGAAAATCTCTCCACAACTCTCTTTGAGGCAATCATATAATTGCACAACTCCGGGCCAGATATTAGGACTTGTGTCACTGTTAGCTTTATGTTGCGCCGCCTCAAATTATTTATATTGTTGTGGAGTAGGGCATCACACTCAGTTTACTTTCTGGTTAAATTCTCTCTCACCTTATTGGAGGGGTGGGTGGGTATAAAGCCTTCCCATGGAAGTCATGGAAAGCACAAACCTTGGCATTACAATGGGTGGTCTCGGTGTGAAATGTTTCTGACTAATTGATAATGTACACATATGCAGAATTAGCAGAAATAATATATGTGAATATGTGGAGGGAATTTCGGGCACTCTGGGCGTATGTAAATGAATCTCTATGATTGATAACGCCAGTGATATTGTTTTTCCAACGCCCAAACAATTGTGTCTTGAGCGGAAAAATCACACTGGCAAATTATTTGTCATTAATTCCTGCACTGCAACTGTGATGATTTGTAAGAAACAGAGCGAAGTGCATTAAGCTGACTTTATTCATCACACTGTTGAATGGCATAATACACTTCTTCTCATAACTCCATTCATCTCCTCTCGTATTGGGATAAATTGTAAATGGGAATAATGGCGAGAGGGAAGCGAGAGGAGGAGGATATCTATATGGAGGTACTCTGTGACATTTTTCCTCGGATTTGTCGTCTCATTGCACACAGGTGTGTATCTTATCGCACATGAATCCTCATATGAGGTAAATGCTACCAACGAGGCGGTGGTTCTTCCATTATCCGGACAATGAGTAAGTGTGCCAGCATATTGTACTCAAGATGTAAAGCAAGAGAGAATGAAGATGTATGGAGCATATCTTGTAATTGTTGTGCAATTTTAAATATATCCCGCGTCACCTTTCTTGTCACAATCACTTTTTACACTGTGAATTAAGAACATGGTGAGAAGGGATCTAAGAATACGCTCTTCTGCAAAGACTCTCATAGACGCTTCAGCGTAAAATTTATGAATGAAAAGGCTCTGAATCTGTATATTTTCAGGTATAGTGATGATTGCACTTTGAATGCAATATACATTATTGTAATGAGTCTTTTCCTTATCAAATGGATTCAAAGAAACAGATGAATTTTAATGAAAGTCAAGAAAAAAGAAGCATTTTCTGACCTTCATTTGCCATCCGAATCTGTGGTGTGGTGGTAAAAAGCTCAATGATTTCAATATATTGATTGAGTTTCCTCGGAACCTGAAAAAGTATGACATTTAAGCTTTCTCATTATTGTGCAACATCCTATAGAACGAGTTCGGGAAAATGATTTGGCACTGTGACGCTTCTCTGGCAAATCATTTAGAATAAAGTACGTTCATGAGAGTTTATCATGATGCATTTCGTTATCAAGTCAACTAATCTCCTTCCAACACTGATTTGGTATCAGAATGTGGATAATTGAATTTATTTGCTGCTTTTATCAATGTAATCGAATATTTTACGTGATTATTTCCCCTCGTCAACCATCAAAATACATATTTATTGTAATAAATGCTACACAGAAAACCTATTTCATTCGGCGTTTTATGAATGTGTGAAAGGAAGGATGCGAGAGCTTTACGTTAACATTATGAAATAAGCAACTTTGAGCGAAGACACAAATCGTTTTGTTGGGAAAAGCGCGCTTTTAGTACTCTGAACGAAATATCTATTTCAAAAGCTCCTTGATCGTTAAATCATTGCCAGTTCCAATAGAACGGCATATTTTTTTGCTGGGAAACACAAAAGCTTCCATTGTGCAAGGCATATAATGCACCTGAAAGAGGGTGTATTATAGAGAGCTTTCATTGTCAAATTTTCACAAGTGCAAAACTTTCACACTGAGATTATTCTCTCATCAATTTCAGCGAATGATTGATAGTGGAAAATAGGCTTTTGAATATTCACTTCTCGTTCCACATAATTCCTTTCTCATCGCATTGGCACTTTCGATTATGCGCGAAATGTGTGCCAATAGTAAAATGCATTTGCAATAGCGCTTCAAGTGTGGTCTCTTTTATTGGCTTGCAAAAAGGAAATTCATGTCCATTCTCGTAAAATGATGTTCAATGTAGCCTTAATCTCAGTTGCGGAGAAATGGTGACCTTGCTCGAAAGTGGAAAGTTACATGAATCATTTTATAGGATCCACTCTATAAATTCTAAAATGTGTGTTTATTTTCATTGGCCATATATACATAACGTATGGAATTCTCCCTTGTGCACTCGTCTTCCATTTCCACTTTTATACCTCAAATAGTCTTGCGTGTATAGTGAAGAGATAGAGAGGGAGAAAAGAAGGGAAATTATCTTGAAAAGTTGTAAAAGCCGCTCAAGAGCGCGTTATCATTTTGATAAAGAACATGTATTTAACCTTTATAGTTGGTTCTTTGCGCTGCAAATACCATAAAAGCATGGAAGAGAAAATTAAAAATAGAGTCACTACATGGAAAATGGGAGGGGAATGATGTATGGTAAGATGTAATGGGACAGTATTCAATGGAAAGCACTGCGGAATATTCTTTATGGCAAACACTATGATGGAATTGGTGTGTCTGTAATCTTATGCCTTTCATTTCTGTATTGCGTGTGTTTATTGCAGATATCCTAAAACAACCCATTTATCTCATTTACTTCGCAAATTCCTCAACTGCCATTCCCTCTTCTTCTTCTTTCCACGCTCCCGTGCAAAGTTTTGCAATTTCAATTCTGCAAAATCCCAAATTGATGGTGAGACATGATTAATAAGTCGAGCATTTCATCTCTTCTTGCAATTTAACAGACTGTCAGATTTAATGTGCATTGCTCACAGTCACAGTGCAGTGAAAGAGTATACAGAAGGATTGCTTAGAATTAATCTTGTCGTATGACGTGTTAACCTCTTATGATAGAGGTTTCAAAAGAACAAGAAGAAATTTCCCATAAAATTGCATTGCACACAGAAATTCATATCATTTCTCTCATATGTGTCATTTAACCACATTTAATAAATGAGAGTGAGTTTTAGTTGCAACTAAAACAAATATTATTCAATCATACTTCTTGCCTTGATATATTGGCTGCTTTGAAATGGTGAAGAGCAAAGCTCATTGTTTGGCTGAGGCTGAATTGCCCTTCCTATACCTTACAATCAATGTTTTTACTTCACGAGGGCACGTAAGGGAGTTTGGGAAATAAGTTGGACGTCTTCTGCTGAGGAAGTAAAGCGCGGATTACAGCGAAAGGAAGATGTTTATCATCTTTATCGAGATTTGAGGGTACGTTTTCCGGTCGTTTTATGAAAATCCTCCCCATATTTTAATGTGAGAAGCAATGTGGCAGCCTTTCAACTTCTTCGGCAACATCATGTGGCCCAATATGTGCCTGAGGGTGGAATTTTAAGTAATTCACTTTATGTAATACGCCAAAATACGCCATAGTGAGATAAATTTCTCATGTCTTCTATTATGACTTTATCAATGTGTCAATGGAAATTCACTCTTGGCTTTCGCTCCGGCTTTCTTCTGTGCTCTCTCTTTCACGCTTTATTGCCAAGACAATAACTGAGAGTATGACAAACTTTATGCTGTCTGCAGTATTATCTCTTTTCCACTTTTCTCCGGTTCTGCGCTGGTCCACCGTTGCAAATGCCTTAATTGCACCAGAAAACTGTCTTCCGATTTTCAATTATTACCTCAATATATCCCTATCTGACTCATCTGCTCAATTAAATTGTCATCGAAGTGATAATTATTACAATTTTCTGGCACTTATTGTAGTATTTTTTCAACCCTCCTCGTGCAATTGTGCCACATAGTATAGTTTCCGAACAATTTCCCAATTAACTGTGTGGAGTGGGGAGAAATCTTTTAACTTGCTTCTCGCGTGCTTTATTCTCGTTTTCGTATATATTATATATTTTGCATTTCCTTTATTGCATTCGAGGGCTATTGTTTTTTTTGGTTAAGACACAGAACACTTTATAGTGAACTTTTCAGTGGAAACTCTCATTATTCCATGACTTTGAGCAAATTGTTTCCATCGAATGGCATCATTAGATTCGTTTTTACTTCTTGTTCTTAATTATCCCGTGAAAGAAATAATAAATGTATACAAATGGTTTCTGTTTGATATGAAATAAATGTCTTATCGCGATATTTAATTATATGCGACACATCTAATTGTATTCATTTGAATTAATTTCTATCGAGACACTGTCGAAAATATGAATTTGTAATGAAATGTAAGCATAGTCAAGTGACGTCTTATTCAGTAGAAGGAATACATTTGCCATAGAATAGCTCGGTATCTTACATCAGTTAACTCACCAGAGGAAAATTGAGTTACCAATTAAAATCAGCAGTCATTTTGCGCGTAGGTAAAAAGGAGGTAAAATTCAAGTGATCACGAAAATCACCTGGAAACTTTAATATCATATGTTTGCACATTCCATTAGCTAAATACATAAATCTTTCTGTGGGGACTTTACTAAGTATCTGGTAGTGAATTCAATACAGGAAGTGAGAGATGAATGAGGATGTGCACGAGCATATGACTATTTGGTGATTGCAAGTAAAGTCCTAATTCAATCAGTCATAAGACATTCCATGAATATCAAATACATCTTCAGGGCAAACTGAGCGGTACATATTGAAGGTATTTTTCTCGGAAATCGATACAGTGTGAAAAATTTGTGCAGAAGTGTTCGTAGTGTGGAGGTTAACTGGAGCAAGAGGTCATTTATTACCTTTCACACCTCGTATCAGGGAAAATTCTAGCGCTACACACATTCTGTCTCATTATTTTCCCCACTTGAGCGTATAATTAAACCACCAACGAAAATGGACCACTATTCACGTAATGTCCTCTGTCATTTATTTCTGAAAAACTCATGTGGACATGGAAATGGTCAGAATTCTCATTGGAGATGCATATATTTTTGCAATTTGTATATCGAAGGGTGAATCGAAAACTAGAACAAGTAAAATTGTTCTTTTTCAGTATTGCAAATTGACAATTTCGCATCAATATTGCTGCAAAATTTGCCAAAATTACCTTAAAACACTTAATCGTTCATTAAAATATAAATTTTGCTCTGTAATAATTATTTTATGAATGTTACAGTGGATTTTTAATAGTCTTTAAGTACATTTGATTCAAAATAGGTTCTAAAAAATCAACTCTTCATATAAAAAAATACAAAAATATGACAAATAATCTTCTTTTTTTCAAACTCTTAGAATATTTTGAGAGAATTCTGAAAATCTGGAATTAATATGTTTACCAAAAAGATCATTTTATGCGAATAAATTCAATTTGAGGCAATTTTCTTAGAAAAAATGTACGGCGTAAACCATGAATCGACTATTCATAGTTTTCGATCCACCCGTCGATATGATTTAATACGACGAGAAATGGGTGAATTTAGAATAGAGATATGGCAAGATCATAATATAGAAATTTGACTAAGATTCATCACCCCGAATCCATTGTGCTCTTGCCATAGAACCGCAATTTCGTCTTCCAACTTTGATAACGATAAGACGGAGCTTCCCTGCAACTTGTATTGGCTTCTGGATTAAATTGTATGAAACTCATCTGCAGAATCCTAATTTTGAAATTTGGAAGACGAAATTTCACGGAGCTTTAGAGATATTTTGTGTGTGTGAGAGTAATTAGAAGATGTGATATTTCTCCCTCGTGACGACATTTAGCACAGGATAAATTTTGTGATGGTAATTTTGGAGAAAGTCCTGCATGAGTAGACAAGCTGAGCGACGCAGCGCATGTAACACTGAAGCAATATAATGTGATTTAGCGTTGACAATGGATGTAAAAGTATCATATTGTTTGAATATGTGCAAAGCAAAAGCAGCTGCAGCCAAATTCAATGAGAAAGTATTTTCATCGATTTTTAGGACCCAGCAAAGTGAATTAAGCCAGTTTATGTTAATTCATTCTGGCCTTGAGTTAGAGCCTTGCTGGGGACATTTGCAGGGGATGTTTTTCACTTTTCAACCACACAGATAAATGGTTGGAATATGTATAATGTAAATATGCAGTTCTTTGTTGGAAGCTGTCCAATTATCACGCAATGCCCCAAAAACTATCTCAATGCGTCACCTTGGCACTGCTTCGGCTTGCAGACGCCAAGACACGGTTATGAAACTGAAAGAATGCTCCAGAATGCTGATAAGAAGTAACTGCAAAAAATGCAGAAACTTTGTATTGATGCCACGATAATACCTGCTATTAATAAAAACTTTTACGTGTGATAATAAAGCAAACTTTAACACCTGAATGGCAGCCTTGCAGAGTTTTTTATTGCCCACAATGCATTGTTTCCAAAATAGGAGAACCACTAAAAGCCATATTATTAATAATGCGCTAATTATTCTGAATGAATTTTAGCAACAACTTTTATGCGGTATTTCGATGTGAAAGAACATCTCGAAAACTTCTGCAGAGTCCTTGCTTGTATTGTACAATTCCAAAATTTTCACAGGAAACTTGCAAATGTGCCGGAATGCAAAGTTTGCCATTGCAACTTTGATAAATAATTTACTTGGCATTTACTTCAATTATTCCTCCAGTGTGGCAAAAGGCTTCAACAACGATAAAGCTTTCATACCAAGTGAATCACACACAATACACAAAAGATTTGCACTTACAACAGTGCCTGCATTTCGACTCAATCTTCTTTGCTTATCTGCAGAGGCCAGATCTATTATAAAGTTCTCAAGATAATGCTATTTTCCAGTCCATCAGTCGTCCCCATAATTGGTACATCCGCCTAATCTAATTACATTGTCCTTTATGGAGAGCAATTTCACTCACAATCAATTTGAGATGCGACATGATATTGTACATAAACAATTTATGGAACAGAGATAAAATCCTGTCATTTTTTTCCCCCAGTTTCTATTATGGTTTCTCTGTAATGCGGAGGAAATTAAATTTTTGCATATCGATCAGCCATAGTATTTGTACTCTGTGGAGCAATTAGAAGCAGTATTGTAATTGCTGAGCAGAACAGTAAAATGTGATCATTAATTCAGGTGGAAAGAGTTGTGCTGAAGTAGTTGATTTCCAATCTATTGAACGTGCCGACTTTCTCTTTCATCAGCACCTCTTGTGCTTTCGAGCGTCCTGGCAAAGCTCTAACCTTCGCTTTTGCCATTTGATATTGACTTCCACTATTTGTCGTGCACCATTGTCAGAGTGCTTGTTTTCTCTCTGCGAAATGCAAACACTAATCCTGACTTAAAATTCTATACTTGGCGCGCAATTGCATTTCCTCTAATCGAAGAATGATTGCATAGAGAGCGAAAATCCCTCGATGGGTTCATACCCAGCGATGAGATGAGCTTGTCTGGTGCTGAATATGTAAACTCAGCTTGTTGTGCATCTTGCGAGAGTGCGGGTTGACCCATGTTAGAGACTCTGCCAACTTTATTGTACTGCATTGGATGGTCGATCTGACTCCTCATTCACCGCAGATTTATTCCGTTCTTGACATTGTTCTGGTTTCCCCAAACTGGGCGAGACAAATAGTCGTGGAGTTATCATTATCGCAATGAATTTTGGACTCCTATCCTATATGGCATGGGCTTGTGCGCACAAACGGCTCCTCATGCACCTCTCAATGCAGTTTTGGAGGGAGAGCATGTCTTGTGTGCCAAATACCTAAGCGGGACACCCTTTTTCTCGCATCCCGGAGCGCTCCACGGCTCGGCTCCAGTCCAAGGATGGAATCTCAGTGGCACAGGCAATTACATGTGTTGTCCGGTTCGTTGGGATTTTAATATAATTTTCTGCATTGGGGGGAAAGAGCGCGGCTCCCATTCAACATTTGCTCCACTGTCACATCCGCGCCACCGACACACTCTCTCGCTCACTCACACCAACTGTGCCGCCCATGTACGAACGTGCACGGCTGTTCTGAAAGCTGCTGAACACTGGCGAACACCCCGTATATAAGTCATCACCTCCGCAGAATTTTCTGCATTCTGCGTCTATCTCTCGACAAGTGAGGGTGTACCTTTTGTAACCATACCATACAGTGTGTAGTGCTCAATTGAGGGCCCATTGTGAGTCACTCTATCGCGCAAACACTCCTCGAGCGCAAATTGAAAGAAAACGAGCCACAAGAATTGGCACAACCCCAGCCACGTCTCAATCGTCTTCTGCAATTGCTGGTCGCGAGTGAAATTTGCCAAGGAGTCCCATCCTGCGGGCATTTGTGCGCTTTTGTGGATAAAATTTGAATATTTGGACTTTACACACAGATAAAAGCGGTGAGTCACCTCTGCTTTTTCCCGCATATTTCTTAATCATGGGCACTTGCGTTTTCCTGCATCGCGCGCGCGGTGGGAGTGGATTTGTATAGAGAGAGTTGGAAAAATTAAAAATGAGAGAATGCAAAATGCATTTTAATCTTTTTTCACATGACATTTAAAATCTCTTTCATTGCACCCCCACGCAGATGCTGAAAATGTATAGTGTGCTGGCTTTCAAAAATTGTGGTGTTAATAGCATAATTATTCCACACGAAATGCTCATTGCACTATGGGCAGTGAGGCAGTGTGAAAAATTGAATGCAGAGTCATACATTGAATGGTATATTTAATTGATTTGATGAAGCGAGTGATTTCCGTGCCGCAATTCCATAATTTGCTACCCAATTGTGATTGGACAGGAGAACACGAAGTGGCAAAAGGTGCAACAAAGTGCGAAATGGTTGAAGCTTTTTGGGCAATTTTGTTAAAAATTTCACAAGCCATACAGTCGGTGGCGTTGAAATTAGGTCAATGAGTGAAGTTGAATTTTTAGTGAGGCCTGGCAATATTTTTGGCACCCTATTCACCCCATTTGCAGAGAACACACCTAGTTTTTACAGGGACGACAAGAGGGAAATGGACATTTTTCAATACACGTGAATAATTATTTCACTGAATGCTTTTTGTTTACTGGATAAAAAGCTCTTGTCCAACATTTGCGCATTCAATTAAAATCTTTTAAACTCTTCTCTATTGTGTAGTTTTTTGCAACACAATGCAGAATTAGAGAATTTTCTCGTGAGAGTAAGAAAGAAAAAAGAGGCAAGGAAAGTTATGAGAAGATGAAGAAATTGCTGTTTCCATTCGGGTATTCTCTCTAGATGATGGTTGGAATTAAAGAAAAAGAAAATTGGTTTCCTTACACTTGCGATACTAATAATATAGCAATCTGATAAGTTTTTTTTTCTCAAAAGTTTCATAAACGAGAATTAAAAAGTTTAGTGCATTCTAGAAGCTAAGCGAAAATCGTTTAAGAATTTCCTCGAAGCCTTTCTTATTCACGAACGTCTTTAGAACACATAACTAAATTTCTGGCATGTTCGCTAAATGAGCGACGCAATAATAGCTACTCAAAAGGATGCAAATTTCGAGGCCTTTCTTCTCTGCCATAAAGAGAGAAAATATAAAATTCAATTCCGCAGTTTATTTCTTTTATTCTCAGATATTTTTCAAATATTTTCATTTCTGTTCACACAATATTTGGCAAATTTATAGTTTTTAGAGACAATTTAGCTGTGAATTTAGATGAATACTTTTGTGTTATTACGAATATTAACGATAATGGATGAAATTTTCCAACTAAAACTTTATTTTTGTGTGACAAATTCTGCAGATATTTGAATTTTAAACTGGAAATATTTTGTACACATGAGCATATTTTGAGCATACGAAATCATACTATATTTCCCCATATTATGCGATGAAATATTTATCACCTATGTATCTTTGGTATTCACGTAAATTTGGCGAAAGAGCTTCCTGATTTTGCATTCTTCCCAGAAATCCTTTGCAGCTCCCGGGAGGCGCATAAAACCACCCCTCGTTTATGATAGAGTTATTGTAATAGAAATTGAGAGGGAAAGCATAAAGCAATAATCAATTATTTACCATAATATCGCTATATAAGAAAACTCGCATTGCAATTGCTAATGCAGGTTTTCGGGGGTGAAAGACGAGTTTCGCTGGTTTTGGCTGTTGGTTCGTGGCTCAAGGAAAGGATGTAATATGCATTGCGAAATATCCTTATTTATGATGGGCGGTAGTCGGTCGTAGAATTTGGAGAATAGAGAACACTGCCATACATATTATTTTCCAAATGGAGCACACATGCAAAAAGTATGTACTAACTCGTGTACCACATGACCACAAGAGTGGTTCCTCGATTTTGGCATCGAATGGAGGTCAAAGTGAGGAAATGTGGCATGAGCGTGTTATTATGCTAAGTTTACATCTATACACATTGTACGTCCCTATTAGACGGGGTGTCTCACCCCCCATTTTAATTATTTACTACCGTAACACTGCATCAATTTCGATTTCGGGTGAAATCGAGACTATTTCCGCTCTGACCGCCTCAAATCTCTGTCACAGCATTGTCGACACAAGCGGAAATTGCTGCAGAAGGAAGTGATTTTTATATCCAATTATGCAATCCATGTGAAAGAGAGTCTAATTCTCCGTTGCAACGCATTTTGCGGATTTGAATTTCTCCATTGTGTGCCGCTGGACTATCTTGAAAATGAAAAGATAATGAAATGCATATCCGGTAACGAAATTTGAATTTCAGAATTCGGTCACGGATTTTATCTCCATAATTTTCTACACTCTATATTTGTGGCAATTGCTTATTGTGAGATTGTGAAAATGATAATGTTATGCGTTTACAATCATGGGATTATTTTCGATGCTGCTCATTTGCTTTTTAATAAATAATGAACTTTCACATGCAGAAAATTATTACACGAAATCTTTGGCATTGTCGTAATCAGAAAGAGAGGGAGCAAATCATATTGTTATTCGTCGCTATAAAATTAATTTCCCTCACTAAATGTTTTCCATATATTGAAAGTTTCCAATCTTAATTCTGCTTTTATTGCCATCCGTATAAAATAATCCGAATAGCTTTTTCTACACTGCGGAGTGATTTCATTGGGAATCTGAACTGGATGGTCTTTCTGCCACTTGAACGGTTGCCTTTTGAATTTGAGCCTTCTGTGGAAATATATATGTTCACAATTTCACGGATGGAAGCACGTGCTTTCCAATTGCACTGTCACAATTGAGAATTTCCTTGAAACTGACACCGCTCTGTTTCCGTATTTTTCCAGCTGCCTTTCTATAGTTTTCGTCTTACATGATTTATGCTATACACAGTAGAATAAAACCAACTGAAAAGTACGCAGGATTGGAAGAAATTTACAATTTTATCTGCTTATCATAGCATAACTGATAGATTTTCTTCAAATTTAATAAATATTTCAATAATCTGTAGATTACGTACATTTAATTTGATCACGCGTATATTTGACTATGAATAAAAAAAAAAGGAGAACATCCCAATAAATCCAGTGTTTGAATGTCCATGTAATAAATAACAAATTTATCGTTTTCAACTTTGCATTTATGGTACGCAGTTTTTCATTTGATTTCTTCTGGCAAAAAAATACTAAAAGGATTGAATGAATGTTTTATTCGATACACAAAAACACAGTTGTAAGTGGATAAAAAATCCCGATGTGACACTGTACAAGTTGCACAGAGACATACTTTTCAATGTACAAATTTATACGTTACATAGGATATCAGATGCTAGAGGTGAGAATGGAATTTATCACCACATGAAGTGTCTTTGTGCATAAGCTCGTAAAATGAGTAAAAACCCAAGCTTCTGGCTTATAAGTTTTCCCCCTGTTTTCCCACTTACTTATCGAGCCGAAATGACATTCTCCAGTACATTGTTTGTTAACCATTTTCATGGACCTTTCATATAAAACACTCGCGCTAATATTACTTCCCCGTGTCTTATTAAATATTCTGTTTCTGTACTCGTAAAAAAAAACAGTTTTTACCTGCAAGTTGTTTCGGCGTTAATTTTTCATTCGCAAAATACCTCCACAGGGATTTGACGCGGGCGGTTCGCCGTTAAGGGTTGAAGATGGGAGATGAAAATAGACAATAGTGATATGTGCACAAAAGAGCCATCGCATACCTGGATAATTAATCAAATTTTGCGCAATTATTCACCCTCAGAAGGTTTGGCAGAATTACATACGATACGGATAGTGTTTTTCCCCACAAACTATTATTCATTAATACGCTGAATTTCGGAAGGAAGAGTCGTTTCTATGGCAAAAATTAAAGGCACAAAGGATATAAATTTTCCATTCGATTCGGCTGACAATGATCTCATTTGATGCACACCCCAGTTAAAGCTTCAGATCTACCACTGTATTTGTCCCTCTTGAGAGTTTCCCTTTGGAGTTTCCCGAGTGAGTAATTCGAAATTCAAATGTAGCTCAAACAAGCAAACACTTTGAATAAACAGGCAACCCTTCAAAGCTCCTCCCTTCGCATCTTCCAAAGCTCATCCGTCATATTTGTCGATCTCATATGGTGTTTATGACACTGCAGTGCTACATATTTCTCTCCATCTGCGCTTTTTATGCAGTGAAAGGGTCCAATCAATAAAGGCCAATCGCAATAAAAATGTGCGAACTGCGGAAGCGAAGAGGTGAAGTGCTAAGTGATGAGAGAAGTAGGTGAATTTATGGCACAATTTAGCACCACTTAATTAGCTGTCTAAGGCGGGGATGTTTGTACACTCTTGCTCCAAAACTTTTCCAACAAACTTGTGCTGTTTTATTGCATTATATTGAGCACGCGAGGAACTGCTTTGTGTTCTCAACCTTTTGACGACACGACTCTATTGAATTTGACTTAATGCAATGCAATGTTTTATTGCGGAGGAATTGGGGAGATCATTGCAGGTGTTTTTGTGTAATTTCCTCAAGTTGAATTAATAGGATTTCCTTCTGTACAAACCCGTGATGGGGATTTAATGTCCCGAAAGTCGTTTCGCTCATTCGTCTGACTATTTGTACACTGGCTTATCGAGACTTCCCCATGACTGGGAACTACATATAACCTCTCTTTGATCATCCAGCGCACAAAAAATGTGATTGAATTTGTCATTGAGGGATTGTTTCGCACACGGAAAATATTCCCTAAGGCAATATCGCCACAGAACAAAGAATTCTCCGTCTCATTATACCGTGAGCTTTATTTGTCGAGCAATAAATGGGGTGATGATGATTTATGGGTATTGCTACCCTCAAGTATTCTCCTTGATTTCCCCCCCGAAAATCTAGATGTACGAATGAGGCGTGCGATGTGATAAAATTCAACCCACTTTCATTTGTCCATAAGAGTATTTTAGAATATTGCACGTGTGAAGTTAA